GACACAAAGCGTCCTGCGCCACCAGTACCGATGAAGGAGAAGGTGCTTCCAGCGCTGACGAGCACAGTGGACGACCTGAAGCACAGCGGTATCAATTCTCCCTACGTGCATATGCTGTTGGCGGTGGACACTATCCCGGTGTGTGGCCTTAGGCGTCTGGTCTGGTCTGGTCTATCGTGGATCGCTGCTGACTGATCCGACCCAGCTGTGGTGCAATCTGCTAGCGAGCTTTTTCACGTGGATCCTGCTCGCTGGGTTCGTGCTGTTCCCAGGAACGTTCAGCAATCTGCAACAACAGACGAATCTCGGCGGGATCGAGGCGTTCGCTCTGAACGTTATCCAACACGTCTCGCTGTGCGTTCTGTGATATCTTTGGCTGCTGCACATTATCTTATTGCATTACCCTCAGATTTGTCATCGCTTGGGCTTGCACGGGGATTGGCGCAGGCGGCATGATCTGGCTGTCATACCGCTGGCGGGGGAATTACATCTGGACGCTGAACAAGATCCTCATGCCCGGCTTCCTGAACTCGCTCGCTGGTGTGCTGTCGACGCTCTCCAGCGTTCTCGGGGCCCAGCACGCGTCGCTTACCAAGTCGAGCATCAGCACGATCGTGGTTACGTCCGCCGCGGCTGGGTCGTGTGGTATCCTGGCTGGGTTCTACGTCCTTGTCCTCATCCGCAGGCTGCAGAAAGAGCATGTCGATATGGTCGGGAAGCAGCGTGCTGGAAAGCATGGCGAGGGGGTCACCGATGTGTCGAAGCGGAAACTGGCTAGTGTTTAAATATCTGACTACCTGAATACCCTGCTCTGTGTACTGGCTCGTATCTGTTTGTATATTTCCACCAGTGCAACGTATACCTGGAACACCCCATCACGTTTCGGCGAAGAACCTCCGCTGTGATATCTCTTGTGTCAGTCCCCTCGAGTCCTGAATCAGATTCGGAGAAATAGACATGTATCAATCGAGTCAAAAATACACATGCCCGACAAGACGGTGGCGTCCCGGGCATCGCACGCTCAGCCTAAATCTCTGACTCGGCGAAAATGCGCGGAAGGACGATAGGACAAAGATCCTAAATCATGCCGTCAGCAACCCTGTTAGAGAGAGTGTGGTGCATTGGAAGTAGGACCCCGTACTTATGTCATTTTACCTTTCACTAGTTCCGCGATGGCGCTGCGGCTGCCGTTGTCTTCAGGAGAGGCCAGGCACTGTTGCTTGTCTAGACTTGATTATAGAAACAAGTGTTTGGAAGCCCGAGCTCGCAGATAAAGATTGGGGGTGACAGACCGCATTCATGGAAGGTCACCCTCGGCGGCAATCGAGTGATGCATGTAGTCGAATTCAATCTCAGCGGCGTGGCCGGGGAATCAAGGAATCATAGCCATGAGAAATCAGCTCCAACGCCGGGGGCTGTAGACACAATTTCCAAAAGATGTGATCAGGAGAAGGTTCTGCACGAGATCTCTCATCCTCATCATATCATGGAGCGGACTCGGACTGTTGGCCGTAGGGCGCAGGCCTGTCTCGTCCTAGCCTCGGCCGACGAGTACCAAGACACGATGACCGAAAGCTGCCGGATCTCCACGACCTCAAGCGAGGTAGTCAGACGAGCTCAGAGCCGCCAGAGTCACCAAGAACAAAATGGAGAGATTCTTTACTCCGACTGCAACGCGCAGGTCCGCGGAGATTGATGTGTTTCTCGAACAGGAGGTTTCCACGATGTGTTGTCTGGCATGGGAAGTTCGCGCGTGATAGAGATCGACGATGGCGGCCTATGAAGTAGTGTGGGGTAGTTCTGTGGCCACTTTGTGGGAAGAGAGATAGCGGGACCCGAGCGCGCTCTGACTCAAGCGGCTGCCGAAAAGGGCGCACTCGAGAATAGTTTGGACACCGACGACGGTGATGGTGACCATAACACGGCGTCAGCGTGCGTCGGCTCCATTCTCTTCCCACCGAAATATGTACGCTCTCATCGCTGCTTGCCGAATTAGGCTGAACACGAGCCGGTCTGACTCGATGTCGACGCGAGCTGATGGGAACAATGTCGGCGGATGAAGTGACGTTGACATCCGAAGGTGCGAAAGACAGAATGGGCAGCAGAGGGCATCCTGGAACGCCGTCGGGCAAACTCAAGGGCAAAGAATGAGGGTGAGAAACCGCCCATGCGTACAAAAAGGTAGCTCGTCAGATGTTATACAATCGTCGGTTACAAGTTATTGGCTTGGATTGAGGTTCTCGGTGGACTCATTCGCGCTTGCAGGTGCACTTGTCTTCATCCTTCACATTCTGCATCACCTGAGAGCCAAAGGTGAGCCGAATATGAGATCGAAGGGTTACTTTCTGATACGCGCCGATTCAATGTGTTGGCCACAGCCCTGGTAAAGCTCGAGATTTATTACGTGTTTCGAACGAAAGCTCTCACCTTCCACGTCGTCTTGCCACACTTGTCGCAGTTGACTGCGAAACAGGTGTCGGTGGGTACAATAGCTCCAGTGAGTTGCATGGTTGATGGTGGTGGTAAGAAGACAGGCGGAGGTGTCCGGGGTCCAGGGGGTGATCGGCGCCAGCATCGGTACTTGAGCCACGGCTGCTGGGTTCTTCGCGCTCTTCGTCCCTCTCTGCATGCGTCGTCGCACTCTATGCCCTCTCCATCGGCCCCGTCCTCCGAGTCTCTCCCAGCTCCCGCGCAGTCTGACAACATCATGTTCGACATGCTACAGCAGTTGGGCAAAGGCAACAATGCGACCGTCTATCTCATCCGCCTGAATCATGAGAGTGGCTTCTACGCAGTGCGTCTGTCTGCCTAGGCATTATTCCCTACTTTGCCTCACCACTGACGTGTCTAATGCGCTTACGCCCATAGCTCAAAAAAATCGCGCGTAACAACAAGTCGGCCGCGCAGATGCAGATCCTGCGCGCCAATAACCCGAATCGCATCAACCTCCCGCGCACCTCACGGCCCAACAACCTCGTCGACCGAATGGGGACGGAAGAGAAGAAGATTCGACGGGAAATAGCCATCATGAAAAAATGCGACCACCCTAACATCATCAAGCTGCGCACCTTCATCGACGACAAGATGTCGGCGAACATATGTCTCAGTGCGTATCTCCTATCTTGAGGCTGGCTATTTTGCACTGACGGATACGGTATCTCAGTCATGGAGTTCATGGAGGGTGGAGAGCTGCAGTGGAAGCATGGCGAGAGCGAGCCGTATTTGACCATGGAGCAGGCACGGCGAGTGACGAGGGATGTGGTGCTGGGGCTCGAGTATTGTGCGTTGGACAGAATCCCATGAATGCATCCTGACCTTCCTCCGAGTGCACGCGCAGGGCATCATCCACCGCGACATAAAGCCTGGGAACATCATGTGGACCAAGGACCGTACGCATGTCAAGATCGGCGACTTTGGAATCGCACATCTTACCGTGGCCGATCCGGACGTCGAAGGGGAGGAGAAGATCAAGCACGACGGGACCCCTTCTTTCATGGCACCCGAGATCGCGCCCGGCGGCGACGGCCCGGCAGGCGAAACCACCACCGCCGTCGACTTCTGGGGCCTTGGCGTCACACTCTACTGCATGCTTTTCGGGCGTGTTCCTTTCATTCCACGAGCAGAAAGCCAATCCCAGATTGCGAATGAAGCGCTCTTGTACCGTGTCATCCGTGAGGAGCCATGGCAGCCTCTGAGTGCGATGAGCTCGCAGCGCATACCCGTTCAGTCCGTTCACTGGCAGTCCAACGGCGTTCTCCACCTTCTGAATCAGATGCTGGAAAAGGACCCCCTGAAACGATTCAAGACGGACAATGTGCAGGTGAGTGACCGCAGCCCTTTCGTGTCACCTCTCTATAATCCAATCCCGCTCCAGGACTCTTGGTTGTTGGAAGGCGTTCAACGTCGGGAGGAGTGGCTTGCTGGGACGACACCCGCGATCAAGATATCCTCTGCTGACGTCGACAACGCGATCCACGAAGCCCGTTTCAAGTGGAGCCTGCGGAAGGTTGGGCAGAAAATTGGCTTGCGCGGCCGGCTCGGGAACCTTTTCGGGCCAGCGAAGGAAAGCGGACCCAGTCGTCATGCACGGTCTGCACCGGCGATGGAGGCTCTCGCCCCAAAGACGAAAAAGAAAGACAAGGGAAAAGGAAAGGAGACTGGCAGGAGACCTTCTGTCGACGTGCCGCGCAATGCCGAATACCCTGCCCTCTCGACCTCCGCGCCGAAAAGTTCCTGGACCGACCGTCGAGAGTCCGCGACCACGTCCCGCTTTGACGCTCTCTCAAAACGAAGCACGATGACGGGAAGCGGGATGGCCGATGCGATTGCTGCGGAGAAGCACCGCCAGGAGCTTGAGGACGACTGGGACTCGCTGTTCGAGCCCGACCCCGGGGTGATGCAAGCGGGGATGATCGCCGTCCCCCGGACGGGGCCGCAGCGGGACGTCGACGACGACAGCGACAGCTATGGCGAACAGGCGGCTTACGGGCAGGGCGATGTGTACGACGAGACAGATAGTGACGACGACTCCCCGATAACCATTCGAACGAGTCGATCCGGGCGGAGGCCAACGGACTGATGTAACTAGCGCTCACTGTGTACTTCTATCATCTATACCCATGTCTGCCTAGAAAATTTGACCTAGACTGTAATACATCTCGTGTTGTGTCCAACTAGCTAGCGGTCTATGTACTCTCGATGAACCGAATAAAGGTGGTAAAAGGTCCCCACCAAAATTTCATGCGGCAGTAAATAGTCTGCATGCACCAGTCGCATGTTGACTCAAGCATCTGATAAGCAGCAGCGAAATGAGCGGTATAATGCAGGGAAAGGGGAACGAGACTTGTTGGCAAAACATTGGCCATCGTGGGGATCGAACCCAAGACCTTCGCGTTATTAGCACGACGCTCTAACCAGCTGAGCTAGACGGCCCGTAGCATTAATAACATGTGGCCTTACATAGCCCGCAATGAATTTTCCACTTTGACTCGTAGTGGTGCATGCGCACTACTAATCCCATGTGAGTTCCCCAGAACTCGTTTACAAATGAATTTTTGGTCAGTGAAACAAACACCTGAATATGAGAGGCCATAAAAAGTGCAGTGTGGCAATGTTTGGGTAGTGTTTACCTGCACGGGCCAGTGAGATTTTGATTTCGGGAGAAGCTGCCAAACCTGCCACACCCTCCCTTTTCTATTTCCGACTCCTTCGAGTCAAGTCAAACCAGATGCCATCTCGCGCTAGCACGAGAAGAAGTTCAACTCGAATCGCATCGCCGCCAAGCTCGGGTTCGCCGTCGCGGACGCGCAAAGAGTTCACGTCCGAGGAAGACTCGCAGTTCGCAGCGTTCTTGTGCAAGTTTAAGAAGGAGGAGAGGGTTGGATTGCATGTTCATCGTGAAGCAGCAGCGGTCTGTGCTATATCCATGCGGGTCGTTTCGTCGAACTGACGGACTGATCCGCTAGACCTCGTGGGGTTCCCGTCACGTCGCTGTGTCCTGGCAACAGCGTTATTTGCGCCGCCGATCGGAGTATGACGTGAATTGCGAGGTGGCGCTTGCGGGACCGGAAGGACAAAAGCTTGGGCCGTCAATTCAGTGCGTATCGGAACCCTCTAGTCGGAACTGCATGGTCTTCAACGTACTTCCTAGTGACGGCGCTCAACATGCATCAACGAGTACCACGACTGAACCCATCTTTATCACGCCAACTGCGCCTAGCATTACCATCCCCTACCCTCGTTTGTCCAAACAAGATCTCCAGATCTCAGTCAACATGTTCCTTACTGTTCTCTCGCGGCAGTTTGGTTTGGATCCTCAGGTCCTCTTCGATTTATGGGTCGAGCATGGCAGTCTCGACAAAGTCCATGCGCTGCTCGAGGAACTCGCTGAGAAAGCTGATGTACCAGAAAACGAAGCCGACCTGGCCGATGAAGCAGGTGGGGAGGACGAAGCTCCAAGGATGCAAAACGTGTTAACGCAGCTCGTGAGCGGTGTGGTCGAAGAAAGAGAAGTCTCTCATGTCTCTCGCTGTGTCACTCCAAACCCGGACAGAGCCTCCGGAACTCCCCCGGCTGCTGCCGAACCTGAGGATGGAGAGCACTATGGGAACGACGTGCTCCAGTCACCTTTCACTTTTCGAGCATGTGACAAATCTCGTGCTGTCCCTCACTCCATGTCTCGTTCTCTTTCTCCCTGCGCCAAACGCCCAGTCAGTCCGTTGGACACAGTGTTCAAGGCGCTTCCAAGGACGCCGAGTCCCTTGGGACCGTTCACCTCCGGATGGTTCGACGTTGATGATGTGTCCTTGGTGGGCTCGGACATCGAAGGCGAAGAAACTCTAACCAATTTGCAACCCTGAACATGAGCGCATAACCGCATCGATCTCGTCTGGAAATATTCACCTACTTGCCCGGAAATTCGCTTCGAATTTCGAAGTTCGGTCCCTTTGTGACTCGCTAGATTTTCTTCTACCCTCGATCGCTGCCTGAAACTCCCAGTCGAAGACCAGAATGTCACTTTGCATTGAACAAGTTACCAATTGATCAAATTTGACTACGTAGTAATGCCCATATATGGCACCGCCCAGTTGAAGGATCATTCGCCGCATTAAACAGGTTGGGTAAGTGCCTTCAATGTTCAACGAGCGGGGCAGAGGCAATCTGAACCACCTCAAGTCAGGAGCTTGTCTCAAGCAACCACCAGTTTTCTCTATGTTCGTTTGTAAGAAAGGTTGCCGAAGATGGACGGCGGTCATCTTATCTGGGATTGAAAGTAATACCGATCCTGCTTGAACGGATTCTATACAGTACATGAAGGTGGACATTACTTGCTCAGAGATTTGCAGCCCTTGTGCAGTGCAAACACCCTCTTCTCATGATTGACAACCTTGGACATCATACGCTTCGCCCAATCGGTCGCCGTTGCGTTCTGCAGCTCGGGTGTCTGGAGAAAATCGCCTTTCTCGAACTCGTGGATGGCAAGATACTTGCAGACCGGTTTTCCTTCCATGACAGCGCCGACTTGCTTGTACTCGATGATCTTGTATCGTCGGCATTGTCTCCAGCCAGGAATTTTGGAGAGCATATCGATGTGTTCCTGATCGCGCTCGATCATCAAGGCCTTTCTCAATATCGGAGAAAACGTCATACCTCGGAATACCTACGCGATTAAAGAAATCAGCATCCCAGTATCCGATGGATTGAACGGAGGCAAGACTGCGCACCATTTATTCAACTCATCCTCGTCACCCTCCGACACTTCCAAGCCAGCCACCAAAATGAACTTGCTCGGCAGACTTTCCTCGGAAACCCCGGGAGCGGTATTCGTCGACAAGTGCCGGTAGATGCGGCGGCTCATGCCGGTGATCTTAGTCAGAATCTCCTTCTCGTTATCGGAGGCAAGCGCGGCGATCGAGGCGTACGCTTCGGATGTGAACACAGCTGCGGTTTCACAGTCGTACATCGTGAGCCAGGTGGGGACTTGCCCGTCCGTGGCTTTGTAGCGGGTCACGGCGTTCTACGATGGCGATCAACGAAAGAGCGCAGAGCAGGAGGTGAGACACACCAGCCCGGCGAGAGTTAGTCGGAGCGGGACGTGCTCATTGTCGTACCAGTCTATTAGTGCATATAAGTTGTCAGATGAATCTATCCGGGGGTGCAACATGGGTTTTCGCACCGTTGAAGCGCTCCTCAGTCACTTCGGGGGCAATCTCCATCCCGAAAAACAGCATTTCTTGTGAGCTCGACATGTTAGATAGGAGTGGAAGACAGTAGACGGAGAATGTAGAGAAGTTTGAATGTGCTCAACTCGATGTTCACCGTCTACTTAAAGCGGGGGATACAGACAATGATCACCCAAAGAACCCGGCCATGGCTCACGTTTGAGTAAGTAGCCATGCGCCTCAGACCACATTCACGAGCTTCTACCGGAAGGAATTGCAAGTTAGGATGTATTTCCATGCGAACATCGCGCGGTTTGACAGACCGCGGATCGGCGCACAAGAGATGAACCCGTTCTGCAGTCACGTGATAAACGGTTCAATATTCAAATTGCCATCAGCGGAGACTGTGCGTCAATCAATTGAAGTATCAGGCATTCAACGAACCTTAAGCCAAGAGTATAGGCATAAAAAAATCCATTCCACTGCTCAAGGAGCTCTGATTCGCTCTGATGCCGCTCACTAGCATAATTATAGACTGCCACCGGGCTCACTGCGCATGTAAATCAGCAACGTACGTACATTTCTCGGAGGATGAAGACCGAAACCCAACGTGTTTGACTTCCATGTATGAATCATCGCTTGGGTAGTTTTGAATGCATTGCTCAGGGTTACAGGTTTGGCCGATGCTTCGACACTACTCATCTCCTACTGTCTTGTCCGCTCTCGCATGGCTCCCGGAGGTGGGCCGCACCTGCGGTTCTTTCGGTTTTTGCTTCGGATTCATGAGCTTCGAAGCGGATCTCGGATCCTGTTTCTGCTGTCTCCGCTATGCTTCCCCGCGGAGGGAATGTTACTCATGTCCGATCTCTAGCAACTGCAACATACATGATAGATTTGTTCCAAAAAAACGGAGACCCCAGGCAAGATCCCTCAACAAATATTCAACGAGCACAGAGCGAAACTAGAAGATGAATTGTTGAGCAGTGGAAAGCGTCGGATTGGGGATCACTCGAGCGATCGATCATAGTGTGCTTCGCGGTATTCTGGTCCGAGAGGGCGAGCCTAGTCCGCATTCCACTCCATTCATCGTCTCAGACAACGATCAAAATTTCCCCTCGGTTTACTAGCACTTTTGCCTCGTCAGAGCTCCGAGGATGCGGCTCGAGAATCTCCGGCGCGAGCTTTTGAAGCATCAACGGATTCATCTCGCTTCGGGTTTCCGCTGCGATATTTGTCATGACATCACGGTGACGCAGGTGCATGTGCTGAGAAGGATGTCAAGAAAAGGGTGTCCAAATGTCATAAGTCCCCTCGAACTCCGACGAAATGAGGTGGCACCACAGGCTATTTTAGGAAAAGTGCTCAGCAACATGGATTCTACAGATTTTTTCGATAGCTCCCAGAGCGGTGGTCACCATGCATGAGCGTACGATCGTTCAGATTTGGCCGCGTCATGCGATATATGACACGGCCGAGTTCAATGCTTGACGGAGAGGCCTGTGGAGTTGCACTAACACGTACGGATGTACCGCCAAGTTCGATGGGAGAGGATTACTGTCCTCGGATCATCGGAGAAGGGCTTTTATCGCGGCGAATAGCATTCATTGTAAGCTCTGCATGTTAGATCTCGCCGCGAGGTGGATGGAGAAAGGAAGATGCGAACGGGTTCAGCCACTCGGTCAACCCCAGTCTTGGCCATTCCTTGAAATGCCGATGACGGAGGAGGATGTCAAACTGCTGGCACTGCCACGCCATGACAGGGAACAAACAGGGACAAGTCCTTCGGGTTTCTCGCCGAACCATCATTCATTAATTCTCGGAGTTCAAGCGATTTCGAGGCCAAAATTGAGCGGAACGCCGGAACCTACGTCACTCAGTCCATGTTCTATTTTAGGTACACATGATCCGTCTAGAACCATTCCCTCCGATCGACCCACTATGGATTGTCCTGTATCTTCCCTTACTCAAATTTCCAGTGTCGCCGTCTGAGCTCCAGGTGGAACAACACCAGAGAGCTTCTGCTTTAATATACCTCTCCCGAATGTAAGCCATCTACTTCTGAACAATGAGTTCATTCGTAATTTCTACTAAGGGCGAAGGCTTGCTCTGTACCGTCCTTCATTCCGATTGGACCGATGGGAAGTTGCTCGATATCGTGTCACTTTCTCAAGAGATCTGAAATCACCGCGGGTCCGATTGAGTGCTCAGCGCACGATGTGATTTACTTGGGACATGATTATTGTATTTTACTTGCGTATTTGAGTCGGAGAATGCGAGATCCACCATAGCTGATTTTTGAAAGAGTGGAACGATGCTCATCGAAAAGACGCGAAATATCCTATCCCATTTAGCAGGATCCATGTGAGAAATGTCTCCACTGCGACTTCACGCACGGTACCCATGGGTCCGAGGAGCGCAGCGAGTTGCCCATCGGTGGTGCTAAGATGGTCTGCCGTTCTGCCGTGTCTGACGTGAAGCTCGCTGTTTTATACTCGCCCGGTCACGAAGTGGAATATTCTATCCTATCTTTATCATGTATCATCGATCATCCACAGTAGCCGGAAAGAAACTTGCACCGCCACTGAGATCACACATCCGCAATCCAGAATCACTCCTGTTGTCAGTATCCTGGAGTGAGGCAAAGAAAAAAGAACGAGCTCAGCTGGAATACGAGCCAGTCTAGACCAGGTGTGCCTAATTTCTGATGCAGGTGCACTACTGAAAATTATGCAAATCAACACTGTTGGCTGCGCCCGGTGACAAAGAACAACGCAGACACGTGCCGCCAATATGCACTCTTCAGTCGAACGGGTAAACGGCCTGTGTCATGTGGGAGCATGGTGCACGATCGAGAGCATAGATGGGCCTAAGGCCGCCCAATTTCTCTTGTCCCTCCGCGCATGCGACTCTCTTTCAAGTTTCTTACCGACCCACCGATAATCGCAATAATCCATGAATCGGTAACAGAGCTTTGGAATAGTTTGAGAGCAGAGTTTCCGGCCACATCGGAGCGCACCTTCCGACGAACTCTCACAATCTGCGAGGATCGGGTTCTGCCTGGGCACAGCCACGTGCTCTTCGCGCGACGAACGGTGTTAAGCAAATCGTGCTGACCCTTCTCGAGTATCCTTGCCCCCAGCTTCGATGTTTCGGGCCCTTATAAGAACGTGATATACGTTCGATTGTCCACACCCACCACAATATGGCGTCGCACACCAGTTCTCTGACTCAGGTTCCCGTGCATGATGAAATGTCGGTGGCGGCCCCCGGAGCTGAGGATAACAGCAAATCTGCTATGTCTCAAGACTCGAAAGAGGAGGCAATCAAGAACCTGGAGGATAATTGGGACGATGACGAGCGGAATCCACGAAACTGGTCCACGAGCAAGAAATGGTCGTCAGCCGCGGTGGTGCGCAACCATACATTACCTCTTCCGACGCGTCTCACGCATGAAAAGGTCTCATTCTACACGTTTGTCAGCCCATTGTCCTCCAGTATCATGGCACCCGGCCTCCCCCAGATTGGGATTCGATATCACATAACGAACGAGACCATGTTGTCCATGACGCTCTCTATCTTCTTGATCACCTTTTCCTTGGGGGTGCGTCACCGTCTGTCATCAAGGAATTCATCTGACAGGCTATATCTCAGGCTTTGTTCCTTGCCCCCCTTTCGGTGCGCAGTTTTTTCTTCGTCCTCGTGGTGGTCTGATAGAGCGGACTGGGCGTAGGAGATGTACGGAAGGTGCGTGTAACACTTTTTTTTTCAACTCGTGAAATTTAATATACCCTAGACGATGGGTACTTCTCTCCGGCTATCTCTTATTCGTCCAACTGACGCGGGCAGCTTCTAAATATCATGAACGTACTGTCCATTGGGTTCAGTCTGGGGTGTGCCTTCGCGCCGAACCTGGCGAGCTTGCTTGTGTTCCGATTGCTCCGTAAGTGGTTCTTACCTATACAGGTCATTACGACAACTAATTCCTTCGTTCTTGTCTTCATTCAGTTGGCCTCTCGGGAAGTGCACCAGTAGCCTTCGGAGGTGGTGTCATCAGCGACCTCTTCTCTGAACGCGATAGAACGGCTGCCATGGCAATATACAGTTTGGGGCCACTCATTGGTCCTGGTACGTGCTAATATTTCATTTCTTCCTCGAGCCACCGGATCTGAAACCACTTTCAGTGGTGGGACCGATCGCTGGGGGTTTGTGAATTTTTTCAGCCTGAAAAACACTGGATAAACTATGGATGTGCAGGATTCATCACGGAGACAATCGGAGTCAAATACGTATTTGTTCTGGTGGGGGGGCTTCAAGCTTTCGGCGCAATTGCAGGGATTCCTATCTTTCGAGAAACGTACTCGCCCTATATCCGTTCGAAGTTGGCACGGCAGTCTTCCGACCCTGAGAAGGCGGCTACGGCAAACACGGGACTTGCTCAGGAACGTACAACATTCATGCACTCCCTGTGGATCAATATCTCTCGGCCAGCAATTCTGCTCTTTGGCAGCACGATCTGTTTCTTGCTCAGTCTTTACATTGCCTTGTGGGTCTTTCTATTCTATTCGGGGTTTTCTCTGAGCATTTTTGCAGCATGTTCGGAATATGTATGTATATCGACTTGAGTTTTGGCTGACGGCTCATTGATCTCAAGATTACTTGATGTTTACTGTCTTCAGCAGTAAGGTCTTGTTGAACTGTTGTTGAACTGTCATCTCATCATTGGCAGAACTCTTCACTGACACCTACAGTTTCAATGCGGGCACAAATGGATTAGCTTACATTGGCCTTGGTGTTGGCTTTCTTTTTGCATCTCTGTTCAGTGCTCAGTGGGGGAAAGATATCTATGTTAAGGTATGAGAGAAAACAGGGCCCTGTCACTGCCACTTATCCATAATCAGCTTTCAGAGAAGAATGGTGGAATAGGGGAGCCAGAGATGCGGATCCCTCCACTGATCATTGGCTCCTTCTTTGTCCCCATTGGTTTGTTGTAAGTTGGTTTCTTTTCCACTCTATGCACCCTGATAGGAGCCTGCAGATGGTATGGTTGGTCAGCACAAGCAAGGATCCACTGGATTATGCCCATCATTGGTTCTGGTCAGTATTTATTCATTTTCCCACAGTGCTTAATCTCAATGTGTCCTAGGAATATTTGGATTTGGTGTGTGAACACCTTGGTCTTCAGAAAGTGTTGTTGACAAACTGTGGGTCAGGAATGATGTCAACATTGTATGTATTGATCTTATCATTGCATCATGATAGCACTGATTTTTCCTCTTTTTTTTCATCCAGTCTTTCCACCCAATTGTACCTGGTGGACACATTTCAATTTGCTGCTAGTGCTCTTTCTGCATCCTCAGTCAGTTTAAATGCCATGGCTCTCTTGAAAATGTCTCATGCTAAGTTAGATCTTCCGGTCCCTCTTTGGGTTTATTTTCCCCTTGTTTGGCCAGCAGATGTACAATGCATTGGGCCAAGGAGGTGGAAATTCCCTTCTAGCAGGGTTGTCCATTGTGCTTGGAATTCCTTTCCCTCTTTACCTCTGGTTTCATGGGAAGCAGATGCGAGAACAAAGCAAGCTGACTAGGTGATATAAACATTCTTTAAAGATTACAGTATTTGTTGGTCCTTGATATACCTGAATTGAGTAATCCAATAAAATATCTTATGATTTTCAAAAACAAAATTGGTGTGACAATCAACAAGAAATAATGTCAAAAAGGGAAGTCAATTTCAAGACTGGAGAATACAACACAATAGTACCTGAATCCAGTCTGAGTCATATCTACATCAAATGAGTCATGAGACTATGTACTGTGTGGAATGCTGGTCATCAGTTTTAGTAGAACCTTCTGGAGTGTGACAATCAACACAGAATACAATCAAAAAGACAAGTCAATTCCAAGACTGGAGAATACAACACAATGGCTACTGTATTTATACTAAGTCCAGTCTGTCAGGGGACGCCGCGCTCCTTGGGCACGTGACCATGCACGTGACCCACTGCGCCCTCTCTGCCGACCCGTGCCTGCTCACCTGTCGATCACCCAGCCTCCTCCTCCTCCGACGATCCTCATCTCCATCCATGCCGACATCCGCCCTCTCCATCCATGCTGACATCCGCCCTCTCCCTCCTTCCCCCGGCCATCTCCCTCGAATCCCCGCAAGTGGTCTAGCCAAGCCCGATTCCTTGCACCAGGGAGTGCTACTGCCGTATGCACTCCTCCCCCTTCACTTCGGCCTTCTCCCCGCAGATGTGGTCTACTGCCGTACAGGCTCGTACCAGATGCCCTTGCGCTCATCTGCACCACCCCTCTTCCCAGTCGGGCATTGGTCCTCGCCTCCGATGTCTCCACTGGCCGGCCTGGCACTGGCCTGGCCACTGGGCTCCTCCAGTGTGGCCTTCCACTGTTGGTGTCTCAGGAGCTGGCCATCACTGGCCCCTCTGAGCCACTCACTATCTTATCTGGGTTTGTCATTATCTACTTGTCATCTGCCATTGTTCCATGGCAGTGATATCCCATCATCATCAGTCACTTGTCACAGCTGACTATATAGTGTGACACCTGGGCACATGGATCCTTGAACCGTTCTCTAAGGATCCCCCTCTGTGCTCAGGTGAGTAGTATACCTCCCTTGTATTTGATAGTCTCTAAGGATCCCCCTCTGTGCTCAGACTCATGTGAGGTTGTTGTGTGCTGTGTGCTCTCTTCCTTCGGGCTGGCAGGAGTTGCCCTTACACAGTCTGAGTCTTATCTACATCATCTGACTATGTACTGTGTGGAGCTTTGGTCATGGGTTGTAGTATAGAATTCTGGAGCACACGCCGCGTGACCTCTTGTACAGATAACCCTCTTGAACCCTAAGCCCAGACCATGTGGTGCTGTGATCCGTGATAAGATAGTCCCATGTCAATGATAAGATAAGGTGATCAATGGAATGATTGTGAAAAATGATTGAATCATGACATTACCCCCTCTCTAGGGCCGATGTCCTCATCGACAGGGTCGATCGGTGTGAAGACGTTGTTGTAGGGGTCAAAAAGTTGTCGTTGGGGATATGGAAGTCACTTGTCCTTGGGTATGTAGCGATGGATGAGGTAATCCCAGTGGTCAGCTTGGAGTATCGGCACAGCGCAAATGCGGGTGTTCGGATTAGATTGTTTTTTCTCCCAGGCTGCCAAGACCTTCTTTGCGTGGGTTAGGTGACGTGATGGTTCCCAGGTGTTTTTTCTGTGCGGCCATCCCTTCCAATTGACCAAGTATTGTTTCCCTCGGCCAACCTTCCGTTCTTTCACGATTTCTTTGACTTCCCACTCTTTGGCTCCTCCAATCATCTTTGCCACGGGTCTCTTCTCTTGGCGATGGGGGGGGGGGGGGGGGGGGGGGGGGTGGTTTGTGATAGGGTGTCAACAGTGACTCGTTGAACACCAGGTGTCTCCGGTCCATATCCAGCAAGTCCAGTTTCCATGCGGCCGCTCCAACCTTCTCCAAAATCTCGTACGGCCCTAATCTCTTGTCGCTCATCTTCTTTGATGGTCTATCCGTCTCAATATTCCCTCCTTCCACGTACACCTTCATTCCAACCTTCAACTCCAGGACTTCTTTTCTTTGATTATTGTAGTATTTTTACATTTTTACATTTGCTTTTTCTAATGCTGTTTTTGCTTTGTCTTGTATTTCTTTCATTCTTTTTGCAAATTCCTCCGCCGACTCATTCCTCAATTCCATCCTCTGCTCTACTTCTTTCCATGGGTGATATCCGTGGTTTGCATAAAATGGCAATACTTTGGTGGATGTGTTCATTTTGTCTTTATATGCAAACTCTGCCATTCCCAGCCACTCCAACCAATCCGTCTGATGGTAATTGACATAGATGCGGAGATAATTGTGACAATCAACCCAAAAACAAAGTCGAAAAGAGAAGTGAATTCGAAGACTGGAGAATACAACCAAGTAGCTACAGTATTTATACCCAAATCCAGTCTGAGTCATATCTACAACTAATGAGTCATAAGGCTATGTACCGCATGGAGCACTGGTCATGGGTTGTAGTAGAACCTTCTGGAGCATATGTCATGCAGCCTTGAATCAATAAAGATAATCCCTAGACCCCTAGCCCGGACCGTCAGATGCCGTGATCCGTGATAAGATAATCCGTGCCGAGATAAGATAAGATGGTCGATGATAAGATGAAAAAGTGGTTGAACTATGACAATAATGCTTGATCTCCTGATTCATGCGTTCTGTCTGCCTGTCCGTGATTGGGTGGTATGCGGTCCCAGGGTTCATCTCTACTCCCAACATCTGATTTGTTTCCTTCATGAAGCCCTTGATGTACCGTGCCTCCCTGTCGGTGATGATCTTGCGAGGGATCCCGTGATAGCGGAAGACCCAGTCCCGAGTTAGCTGTGCTACTCCTTTGCTAGTGATGTCAGTACTGATTGGTTCCACGTGAATCATTTTCGTGAGGGTGTCACACCACACATGAATCGCATCATACCCATTTCTGACCGGTAGAGGTCCAATTTGATCCATTGAGATGATTTCCCATGGGGCACTTGGTACCGCGTGTGGATGCAGAGTTCCGGTCCTTGCCCTCTTGGTCTTTGTCTGTTGGCACGCCTCACAAGTCTGGATGTATTTTCGAATTTGGTTCCCCATCCTTGGCCACCAGTAATTCCTTTCCACCATCTCTTGCGTTTGGTTGATCCCTGCGTGTCCAACGAGAGGCGTGTTGTGGTGTAGTCCAATGATCTTGTCTCGTAGCTCCTCGTCCCTTGGTACATAGAGCTTCCCGTGATACGTGATAAGTCCATCTTCCTTTTTCCATCCGGGGAGAGACTTCTCTAATGCTGCCTTGACACTTCCATCAATTGAGCGAATGGCCTTGATCTCATCAGTCAGCTGTTGATCCTGTCCCTCGAATATGACTTCTTGTGATCGGAACAACTCGGGCTTCAACAGGGTGATGTCCTTGTTGTCGTTCTTGCCTTGGTCATGATCCACCTGTCGTGATAAGAGATCTGCCTTGCGGTTGAGTGCGCCGGACCGGTGTCGTAAGCTGAAATCAAACTCTGCCAACTCTGTGATCCATTGTGCTTGCTGTTGGTTGAGCTTCTGCGGCTTTCAGAAGTATTTGAGATTTTGATGATCAGTGAAGATCTCAAACGTTTCCGTGGCTCCCAGGAGTAACTGCCTCCATTCGTCGAGCAATAACATGACTGCAAGCATTTCCTTGTTGTAGATCTCGTAATTTTGCTTGGTTTTGGTCAATGCATGTGAAATAAATGCAATTGGGCGCCAAATGCCGTCTTGGTTTTGGCTCAAAACAGATCCTGTTGCCCCTTCCGAAGCATCGGCTTCCAGACAATATTGGCTGGTGTCATTTGGCAGTGCTAAGACCGCATCCTCCGCGATTCTCTTCTTTAATCCATCAAATGCCGCACACTCATCTGTACCCCACGACCATCCTGCCTTCCCTGTCAGCCATGTTAACGGTTTGGCCACCTCCGCATATCCCCAAACAAAGTGTCAATAGAAGTTTGTGAATCCAAGGAAAGCTTGGACATGTTTGATGCTCTTTGGTTCCGGCCATTCCATCATGCCCTTGATCTTGACAAGGTCCATCCGCATCGAGTTGTGTCCAATAATTACACCCAGATATTCGATTTCCGTGCGTTCAAACTCGCACTTTTCGGGCTTCAGGTACAGTTTGTGCTTTTGGAGCAACTTGAGTACCCGTTTGGTGATTCATCGATGTTTATCCAGATTTTCTGTGAAGATCAGTATATTGTCCAGATAGACCACCACATGTCCCTTGTTGATTAGTTCCCGCAGGATATCATTCATCATGTTCTGGGGAGACATCAGAGGCGAGGACCAATGCCCAACTGGGAAGAGGGGTGGTGCGGATGAGCGCAAGGGCATCTGGTACAAGCCTGTACGGCAGTAGACCACATCCACGGGAGAAGGCCGAAGTGAAGGGGGAGGAGTGCATACAGCAGTAGCACTCCCTGGTGCAAGGAATCAGGCTTGGCTAGACCGCTTGCGGGGATTTGAGGGAGATGGCCGGGGGAAGGAGGAAGAGGGCGGATGTCGACATGGATGGAGATGAGGATCGGAGGAGGAGGAGGTGTGACAATCAACCCAAAAACAAAGTCGAAAAGAGAAGTGAATTCGAAGACTGGAGAATACAACCAGGTAGCTACAGTATTTATACCCAAATCCAGTCTGAGTCATATCTACAACTAATGAGTCATAAGACTATGTACCGCATGGAACGCTGGTCATGGGTTGTAGTAGAACCTTCCGGAGCATATGTCGCGCAGCCTCGAATCGATAGAGATAACCCCTGGAACCCCTAGCCCGGACCGTCTGATGCCGTGATCCGTGATAAGATAAGTCGTGCCAAGATAAGATAAGATGTTGATGATAAGATGAAAAAGTGGTCGAACTATGACATTACCCCCTCTCTAGGGTCGATGTCCTCATTGACTAGGCCAATGGGCGTGAAGACGTTCTCGTAGGGGTCGAAGAGTTGTCGTTCGGGATATGGAAGGCGCTCGTCCCTGGGCTTGTAACGATGAATGAGATAGTCCCAGTGTCCAGCTTTGAGCGTTGGCAGGAGGCGAATGCGTGTGTCTGGATTTGATTGTTTCCTCTGCCAGTCTCTCAGGATGTCCTTTGCGTGGGTAAGGTGACGTGATGGTTCCCAGGTGTTCTCGCTGTGCGGCCATCCCTTCCATTTGACCAAGTACTGTTTTCCTCGGCCGACTTTTCGTTCTTTCACGATTTCTTCGACTTCCCACTCCTCTGCTCCTCCGATCATCTTGGCTACGGGTCTCTTCTCTCGGCGATGGGGGGGTGGTTCATGATAAGGTGTCAGTAGTGACTCGTTGAACACCGGGTGTCTTCGGTCCGTGTCCGGCAAATCCAGCTTCCAAGCGGCCGCTCCAACCTTCTCCAGTATCTCGTATGGCCCCAATCTCTTGTCGCTCATCTTCTTTGATGGTCTATCCGTCTCGATATTTTCCCCTTCTATGTACACCTTCATCCCAACCTTCAACTCCGGAACTTCTTTTCTTTGTTTATCGTAGTATTTTTTCATTTTTTCTTTTGCTTTTTCCAATGCTGCTTTTGCTTCGTCTTGTATTTCTTTGATTCTTTTTACAAATTCCTCCGCCGACTCGTTTCTTGATTCCATCCTTTGCTCCACTCCCTTCCATGGGTGATATCCGTGATTTGCATAGAACAGCGACATCTTGGTAGACGTGTTCATTTTGTCATTGTATGCGAACTCCGCCATTCCCAGCCACTCCGACCAATCCGTCTGATGGTAGTTGACGTAAATGCGGAGATAGTGTTCGATCTCCTGATTCATGCGTTCGGTTTGTCCATCCGTGATTGGGTGATATGCGGTCCCCGGGTTCATTTCCACGCCCAACATCCGATTCGTCTCCTTCATGAAGCCCTTGATGTAACGCGAGTCCCTGTCGGTGATGATCTTGCGAGGGATCCCATGATAGCGGAAGACTCGGTCCCTGGTTAACCGTGCGACTCCTTCACTGCTGATGTCAGTACTAATTGGTTCGACATGGATCATTTTGGTGAAGGTGTCACACCACACATGGATTGCATCATACCCATTACTAACCGGCAGGGGTCCGATTTGATCCATCGAGATGATTTCCCACGGCGCATTTGGAACTGCATGCGGGTGTAGAGTCCCTGTCCTCGCTCTCCTGGTCTTGGTCCGTTGGCACGCCTCGCACGTCTGGATGTATTTCCGAATTTGGTTTCCCATCCTGGGCCACCAGTAGTTTCTTTCCACCATCTCCTGCGTTCGGTTGATCCCAGCGTGTCCGACCAACGGGGTGTCGTGGTGTAATCCGATGATCTTGTCCCGTAACTCCTCGTCTCTTGGTACATAGAGCTTCCCATGATACGTGATAAGCCCCTCTTCCTTCTTCCATCCGACGAGTGACTTCTCCAAGGCCGCCTTGACGCTTCCATCAATTGATCGAATGGCCTTGATTTCATCGATTAGCTGCTGATCCTGTCCCTCGAATGTGACTTCTTGTGATCGGAAGAACTCGGGCTTCAGTAGCGTGACGTCCTTGTTGTCGTTCTTGCCCTGATCGTGATCCACTCGTCGAGACAGGAGATCCGCCTTGCGGTTTAGTGCGCCGGGTCGGTGTCGTAAGGTGAAATCAAACTCCGCCAGCTCCGTGATCCATCGTGCTTGTCGTCGATTGAGCTTCTGCGGCTTTCGGAAGTACTCGAGATTCTGATGATCAGTGAAGATCTCGAATGTTTCCGTGGCTCCCAGGAGCAGCTGCCTCCATTCATCGAGTGATAACATGATCGCGAGCATTTCCTTGTCGTAGATCTCGTAATTTCGCTCGGTTTCGGTCAATGCGTGTGAAATAAATGTGATTGGGCGCCAAATGCCGTCTTGATTTTGGCTCAAGACTGCTCCTGTTGCCCCTTCCGAAGCATCGGCTTCCAGACGATATTGGCCAGTGTCATTTGGCAGTGCTAGGACCGCATCCTCTGCGATTCTCTTCTTCAACCCATCAAATGCTGCACACTCATCTGCACCCCATGCCCATCCTGCTTTCCCTGTCAACCGTGTCAATGGTTTGGCAACCTCCGCGTATCCCCGGACAAAGCGCCGATAGAAGTTCGTGAATCCGAGGAAGGCTTGGACCTGTTTGACGCTCTTTGGTTCTGGCCATTCCATCACACCCTTGATCTTGACTGGGTCCATCCGCATCGAATTATGTCCAATAATTACACCCAAATATTCGATTTCCGTGCGTTCAAACTCGCACTTTTCGGGTTTCAGGTACAGCTTGTGTTTTTGGAGCAGTTCGAGTACTCGTTTCGTGATCCGCCGATGTTCGTCCAAGTTCTCTGTGAAGATCAGTATATCATCAAGATAGACTACCACATGGCCGTCATTGATCAGTTCTCGGAGTATGTCATTCATCATGTTTTGGAAGGTTGCCGGGGAGTTTGTGAGACCGAAGAACATGACCAAGGGCTCGTACAGTCCGTGGTTTGTGTGGAACGCAGCCTTCCACTCGTCGCCCTCTTTGATCCGTACGTTATTGTATCCCCACCGGATGTCGAGCTTGGTGAAGAACTTTGCACCGCATAGATTATGGACCAGTTCAGAGATCAGCGGCAGCGGGTACCGATTTCGGATTGTCATTTCGTTCAGCTTCCGATAATCTTGGACGGGGCGTAGCGAGCCATCCTTCTTTTTGACAAAGAAGAACGCTGATGCCATGGGTGATTTGGAAGGCCTGATCCGTCCGCTGGCCAGGTTCTCTTGTAAGAACTCGTCGAGTTTGACCTGTTCGCTTCGTGATAACGGGTACACCTTGCAGTCCACTGCTTTGGAACCAGGTTTGAGCTCGATTGCATGGTCCCATGCCCGTCGGTCTGGCAGCGAGTCGAACGATTCCTTGGCGAATACTTTGACAAATTCCCGATATTGATCCGGAATCTTCCCCTCGGTCATTCTCTCCTTCTCTTTTTCCGCTTCTTCTGCGAATTTCTGCGCCGGCGTTTCCTTCAACCGTAGATCCACCTCCTTCCCAAAGTCGATCAACAGGATTGACTCTCCCTCTTCCAGATCCGGTGCACCTGCGTCCAGGTCAATCGCATCCATGTCGATCATTGCTTGATGCTCCTCGTGACCCCTCATGTGACACCGCTCTGGGCATCGACTGAACCTCATCGTCTGCTCCTGCCAATCCACCTCGGGGTTGTGTTCCGTCAGCCAATCAAGACCGATGAAGATCCGAGCTTTCCCTAAACACGTCAGAAGGAACGTGCGTGTCTCCACGTGAGGACCAATTCTCATCCTTAGGTCGACGTAATGCGTGATCCGACCGCTGATGTTCTCGGTGTTGTCGGCGTTACGAGCCACAATGGGTTGGGGAAGTTCTTGGATATCCAGCTTCTCTGCCCGCGCGTAGTCGGTATCAATGCAGCAGGTGCTACAGCCACTATCGAGTAGCGCCTTGACTCCGCGCGTCTTTCCTGAGTCCAGACCCGTGATCTGTACATACACATCCATCGAATGTCTCTTCCTTTCGGCCTGGTAGTTGCGCAGTTCCTGCGCCAGTCTGCTGGGTTGCGGGCCCTTCTGCCTCTCGGCTGCCCATTTCCTTTGAACGGCATCCGGCACCCTCGTGCGTTTGGGTGCTTCTGGAACCCTGATTTCGGCAGATTCCTTGGGCGCTTCCTCCTTTTTCAAGGATTGAGCCTCCGGAGCGATGCTCCCCTTTTCGGTCTTTGTTGACGTGGTTCCTTCTCCACGAGCCATAAATACGTAGGAGTCCAAAATTAATTTATCCGCAGCTTTCTGATCCTTTTTACTCTGTAAATACTCTCTATTTAAAGCTATTTTCTTTTGACGTTCCTTTTCCATATCAGCAACAAGAAAATCATGAATATTAGTACGTAGGGAGTCTGAGATCGTGTATGCATGAGGAGAATCGTTCATATCTCTAATCGAAACAAGTATAGAAAAACGTCCATAGTCCGGACGCTCCACCTCCTTGGCTAGAGGAGTGGAGCGCTTCAAAAACCCTTCTCGCGCAGCTTCTCAGCGATCTCCTTGAGGAACTCGTTGTCCTTGTCCCCGTTCTCGATCTCTTCCAGCATCGTGGCCCGATTGAAGAATGTGCGCTTCTTCCTTGGCTCCGGACAGTTCCGCGCAATGTGCCCAGGCTGCTGACAGTTGTAGCAGATGATATTGCGGCCGCGGGCGTGGGTGCGATCGATTTCCATCGGAACTGGTTCGTTGGCAGCGGGTCGGGCCGGGGCGGGTGCAGGTGTCATTGGGGCTGCCTGCGGGCGGAATTGGGGAGGCGGTCGTGGTGCGGATTGCGCATGCGATGCTTTGCGCAGCTGATCGCGTAGAGCGTTCGCCTCGATGTTGACACACCAATTCTTGAAGGCACCATATGCCTTGGGCAGGGGGACGCCAGTGTTGTAGAGGCGGCTTGCAATTTCGCTGCTGAGTCCGCGCTCCAGGAACTCGATGAGGATATTGTCCTGTTCCCCCTTCTTGTACTCGCCCTTGCTGTCGGTGGAGGTGACCACGTTGTACCCCGCGTCTGCAGCCAGCATTTCGAAGTCGGAGATGTAGTCCGCAAAGGACCGTCTGCCCTGGCGAAGGGCCATGAGTCGGGCGGCAGCGACTTGCTCTGCGTTAGAATCCCCAAAGGCCCTCTGAAGCTCCTCCAAGAAGCTTGTTGCGGTGACTCCCGCCTTTAGTCCTTGGAAGCCCTCGAAATTGTGCTGCTTCCAGTTCATCGCCCATCTTGAGGCGGCGCAGCTTGTGCCGCTCTCATTGCGGAGATAGGACAGGACGAAGAGGATTTTCGTCTCGTCCAGCGAGAACTCTGACCGATAGGCACCGATGTAAGTGGTGCACGCATCCACAAAGCCCAGGTACTTGGACTTGTCGCCATCGAAATAGGGGGGGTTGGCGGCGAGGGTGATGCGGTGATGTCCTGACATGGTAGGAGCAGGTGCGGTAGGTGGGGGCGAGGGTGGTTGTTCGGAGGGTAACTCGCCAAGGTCGGGGAACTTGTCTTCAGGCGGCGGAAGGGCAAGGTAGGGGTTGGAGGATCCGGGTTGGTTTTGATGCGCCAGATCGGGCGATGATGGTATGATGGGGGGAGGGGATGGACTCCCAGATGACGATGGGAATCGGTACGAAATGGTGGATTCGTGTGCTGTACAAGCACTCGAGGAAAGGTTCTTTTGCTAGCAAAAAGATCCCGGGCCTAGCTCTTCACGTGCCCGATGATCCCGAGGTGCGTTTTCCCGAAGGTCTCCGCAGCACTCCTTGTAGCTACCGTAAGGCTTGGGTCGGGCTCAACGTTACCCGTGGCCTGGTGCTGTTTGCTCGATATGAACCTTTCACTGCGATCGCAGCGAGCGACTAGATGATTCGGTAAAAGGGTGAGTGGGGTGATAAGGGTGAAGAGGATATAGCGGGCGTAGCGGTGCAGGGAGCAGGGTAGAAGGTACGAGGGTATGAGGGGAGTCTTTGAATTATGTGACAATCAACCCAAAAACAAAGTCGAAAAGAGAAGTGAATTCGAAGACTGGAGAATACAACCAGGTAGCTACAGTATTTATACCCAAATCCAGTCTGAGTCATATCTACAACTAATGAGTCATAAGACTATGTACCGCATGGAACGCTGGTCATGGGTTGTAGTAGAACCTTCCGGAGCATATGTCGCGCAGCCTCGAATCGATAGAGATGACCCCTGGAACCCCTAGCCCGGACCGTCTGATGCCGTGATCCGTGATAAGATAAGTCGTGCCAAGATAAGATAAGATGTTGATGATAAGATGAAAAAGTGGTCGAACTATGACAGGAGGAGGCTGGGTGATCAACAGGTGAACAGGCACAGGTCGGCAGAGAGGGCGCAGTGGGTCACATGCATGGTCACATGCCCAAGGAGTGCGGTGTCCCCTGACATGGTGCTGTTTGCTCGAGATGAACCCTTCACTGCGATTGCAGGGAACGACTAGATGATTTGGTAAAAAGGTGAGTTGGTTGATAAGGGTTAAGAGGATATAGCGGGCATAGCAGTGAGGGATGCAGTGGTAAGAGGTATGAGGTAGGAGGGTATGAGGGGAGTCTTCAAATTATGTGACAATCAACAAGAAATAATGTTGAGAAGAGAAGTCAATTCGAAGACTGGAGAATACAACCAAGTAGCTACAGTATTTATACCCAAATCCAGAGGCAATGTACCACATGGAACACTGGTCATGGGTTGTAGTAGAACCTTCTGGAGCATATGTCGCACAGCCTTGGATCGATAAAGATAATCCCCTGGGCCCCTAGCCCAGACCGTCACTGGTTGTGATCCGTGATAAGATAAGTTGTGCCAAAATAAGATAAGATCATTGATGATAAGATGAAAAAGTGGCCAAACTATGACAACCAGCGCTCCATGTGGTACATAGTCTTATGACTCATTAGTTGTAGATATGACTCAGACTGGATTTGGGTATAAATACAGTAGCCACTTTGTTGTATTCTCTAGCCTTCAAATTCACTTCTCTTTTTGACATTATTTCTTGTTGATTGACACAATTGTCACATGTTTTTCATGGAGAAAAAATAAGTCCCCCTGCAGTGCTACAACATACATCAAGTTCAATGGTTGTTTTGATGGCCAGGAAGCAGTTGAAACTTCAAATAACAACCCTGAAGAACAAGATGATAATCAAAGAATGTCTTGAGTATTTTAGTTCCAATAATTCATGCCTTGTGTACAAGAAAAATTGAGAATTCCGTCTAACATACTTTGGAATTTCTGCATGCATGTTGCATCAGATTTCAAATTTGGAAAGCCTATGCATCATGCACAGTCTAGATTTTTGCAATTTCCACATGTCCGATCATTAGCACTTTTGGCTGTGAGATTTTGTAATGTGGGAAGATCGCGTAGAAACGGATTTTATCATAATTGATAGAATGGTGATTGCTCTAGATGAAACACTCTTGATCAAATCTGACCTCATCATGCCCATATATGGCACGGCAAAGTTGCACTCGTCATACACACGTTAGGTGGATATAAGTACAAGGACAAGTACGGAGTCTCCCTGAGTCTAGAGAGACAAAAATGTTCTCCGACAACCATCAGATAGTGGGGACTCAAGCTTTGAAACCCTTATGCAACTCAAACACCCTCAACTCGTGCTGGAGAAATTTAGTCGCCATGCGCTTCGCCCACTCGCTTGTGGCCGCGTTGTGCATCTCGAGAGTCTTGAGGAACACGCCGTTGTCGAACTCGTGAATGGCGAGATACTTGCAAACCGGCTTTCCTTCCATGACAGCACCGACTTGCCTGTGCTCAAGAATCCTGTACCGTCGGCATTGCTTCCAGCCGGGGATCTTAGATAGCAAATCGATGTGCTCCTGATCGCGTTCGATATTCGATCATTCTGTCCCGATTGGCGGCAAGAGACATACCTCTGCATACCTACGCAGCCACGGCAATCAGCTTTCGGTACTTCGATGGGATGGAAGCGGATGCAAGACTGCGCACCATTTGTTCAACTCATCCTCGTCTTCCAACGCCACTTCCAAGCCAGCCACCAGGATGAACTTGCTCGGCAGATCCTCGTCGGGCACGCCGGGATCGGTCTTGGTCAAAAAGTGCTCGTAAACGCGTCGGCTCACACCGATGGTCTTTGAGGCGATATCTTTCTCGTTGTCCGAGGCAAGAGCTGCGAGCGAGGTGTATGCTTCGGAACCGACAACACCCGCATTATCGCAGTTGTATATCGTGAGCCAGGTGGGGATTTGAGCATCGGACGCTTTGTAGCGGACAACGGAGTTCTGTGACGCTGATCGACGGGAGATTATGAGTCGTGAGGCGATGGCACGCACCAGCCCAGGGACCTTCAGTCGGATCGGGACGTGCTCAGTGTCATACCATTCTGGGAGTGCATATATGCGGTCAGACGGGATCGCGCTGGATGAGAGATGGCTTCCGCACCATTGAAGCGTTCCTCAGTCACTTCGGGGGAGACCTCCATCGCGACAAATAACATTCCTTGCGGGCTCGACATGTTCGATCTAACGGTGAAGTGGAGGGAGGAAGAAAAGTGGGATTGCGGTCAACCCCGGTCTTGGCTATCTCCTTAAATCCACGGGTGACGGATGATATTAAAGTGCCGGCACTGCCACGCCATTCCCTGACGCGTTCATGGTCCGGCAGCACTGCTTACCATGCACATATGACCGTGATGAGCCCCATGATCGTGACATGCCACATGATCGTGACTATCGCGCGCGACATATGTCACAGTTCACGCGCACCACCGCTGGTGTATCGACCTACTAGGAACCATTCGCATTCAATGGAAACCTTCCACGTATTATTTTCATGAGAGATTTACGCTGTAGTAATTTCTTTCTGTTGGGTGAACGTCCGGCAGGGTTGAATACATTGACAACTGAGACCATCTAGAATGCGCTTGAAAGAATACCTTGACTTCACGCGTTCTAAGAAAAGAGTGCTGAGGTAGTCTATTGTGATGCTTTGGCCCATCTCTGCCTTTTGGGTTGTAAGCTTCAAAATATGCCGCGAAGGAGCTCGTATCGATTTTCAACGCTGTAGTATTTAGTCCGATCTGACGCCCATATTCTACTGTCGCATTAATGCTGCACCAGTGGCGGTAGATCATACTTCAGCAGCAGCATCTTGAGCCGCACTTGTTATGCTCCTACAGTACAACTGTCTTCTTTAATTTCTGATAAAAGTTTCTCCTCGCGTGAAGGATTACCTGAAAGAAATGTTAGATTTTTCTCGAGTGAACTTGGAACGGGAGATCAGAAATGAATATTTTTTGCTCTTCAGATAAGCCAGATTACTGATACATTCATTTCATTAGGCTCTGAAGCCCTTATGCAAACCAAAAACTCTCAGTTCCTTCTGAACAACAATGGATAACACGCGCTTAGCCCACTCGGAAGAGACCGCGTCCCGCATCTCTGGTGTTTGGACGAACTCGCCGTTGTCAAACTCGTGCACGGCAAGGAACTTGCAAACGGGGCGTCCCTCCACGGCAACGCCGAATTGCTTGTGCTCGATGATCTGATATCGCCGAGTCTGCTTCCAGCCGGGAATCTTGGAGAACATGTCGATGTGTTCCTGATCACGCTCGATTACGTGTCTCACGGATCTGCGCATGAGGACATACCTCATCATACCTGCACGAAAGTCAGCTTCCCAGGTAGATACGATTGACCGAGAGGCACGCACCATCTGTTCAGATCGTCCTCAGCTCCCCCAGGCACTTCCAGTCCAGCAACGTAGATGAACTTGGCCGGCAATTCCTCATCAGACACACCGGGCGCGGTCGTGGTCGATACGTGCTCATATATGCGGCGGCTGACGCCTGTGAACTTGGACAAGATATCCTTCTCGTTCTCGGATCCGAGCGCCGCGAGGGAGGTGTACCCTTCGGACTGGACTACCGCGGGAGCGTCGCAATTATACATCGCGAGCCAAGTGGGGACCTGCCCGTCCGTGGCTTTGTAACGCGTGACGGTGTTCTGCGAGCTCGATCAATGAGAAATCGCGTCTTAAACTGCGGGGCAGCCACCCACCAGCCCGGAAACTTTCAGTCGCAGCGGGATGTGCTCGTTGTCGTACCAGTCTATTCATGCATACGCCCGTCAGTCGGGTGGAGTTCCCATGGACTATGGTGTGGTTATACCGCACCGTTCAAGCGCTCCTCAGTCACTTCAGGGTCGGCCTCCATGGCAAAAAAGAGCATTCCTGACGGGCTGGACATGTTACACAGTGCTAGGGAGCTAGACGCAGGCGTAAGAATGAGATGCAGACCAGCACCGATCATTAGATTCTACTTATATAATATGAAGCAGCGGATGACAGATAAGATTGCTCTACCCTGTCACACCACCACCGGATTTATAAGGCAGCTGGCTCAGCAGTCTCGATTACAAACTGTCTCCGTAACCCGGAGGTCCCGCGATGATCCGCGCATCCGTGATGGTATCAATTCAGAGTTGTGAAAAAGGAACGCCTGAAACCACATCTCATTGAAGCCTCCGACAGGTATATTCTTCATGCCGAAGTATACCACGCCCTACCGGAGGATCAACTCCAGCCAGGTCGATATGCAACAGCTACATCCCAGAGCAGCTCCAAAGGGGTTTTTTTTTTCCACCGTAGGCTCTAGTCTTCTTGGGCTCTTTTTCTGTGCCTACCTCCAACAATCTACCACACACGGAACTAATTTATTCGCTACTTCTACTGTTTACCGTCGAGAATCGTCTCGCGCAATCTTCTCAAGGCCTCGTCGACTTGTTCTGCTGGAAGCAGACTAAATGCGGCGCGCACATACGCGGATTTCCGGCCGTTGGGATGGAATGCAGTCCCCGGGAGCGCGAGAACACCCTGCTCAACCGCCTTCGTACGAATCAGCTCGGCAGAATCTTCATTGAAGTTCAGTTTGAACCTCGATCATTCGTTTAGCGGTGCGACGGCGGGAAGGGGTCGAGAGAAGACCAATGCTCACCAGAAGAACAATCCGGCTTCGGGCGCAGTCCACTCGGCCAAGCCACCCAGATGTTTGACCATTGCAGCCTGGAAAATGTCGCGCTTTTCGCGGTAGAAGTCGGATATTCGGACTGTATGCGTCATGAATCCGTCGATGCCCCACGCCCTGAGCAGTTTCGCCGCGATGACTTGGGTGAGTGATGCCGTCTGCAGGTTGGAGGCGGATGTGTTCCCCTCGATGGCCCGCAATATCGGTGCAGGCGCGCAGACGAATCCGAGGCGCATCCCTGCGGAGAGGATCTTGGAGAGCGAATCGAAGCGCAGGACACGGCCGACGGATTTCAACTCAGTCTTTTCGAGGGCAAAATACGACGGCGTTCGGTCCTTGCCGTAGAATAGGAAGTAGTACGGATCATCTCGAAAAAGGTCGATGATTCGGTTCCCAGGTATCGAGGCGTGGCGCACCTTCCATGATCAGAAAGTTGTGCTCTTCTGCTAATTTGAGAACCTCTCGCCGACGCTCCAGTGTGGCAGTTGATCCATCGGGATTACCTCCATACTGTAAGAGGTTTACTCACGGAGAAGCATTACAGGCTGTGTTGCTGACCGGAATAGTGTACAGAACCCGCGGTTTAGGCTTTTCTGGGGGCCAAGACTCCAATATCGAGCGAAGGGAGTCGCTGGAAATCCCATCTGCGTCCCCGTCAACCTCTGGAAGGTGGATGAGAGCTTATCATGTGTGGAGAGACACAGAACGGACCGACTTGCTCACAGTGCAAACCATAAAACAGGGGGATGACACCGCTGGGAAACGGTGACGTGAGCTAGTGATGTTCATGGACCTCGCTTGATCCGACTTACGGGTAGATCGGCGACTGCACGAGGACCGAGTCTCCAGGATTCACAAGAGCAGTGATTGCCTGTGTCTCGTCAGAAATCTGCAGGAGATACGCGCGTCACGCTCGGCAAGCGACGAACCTTGGTCAACAGATCCTGGGATCCAGTGCCCACGTGCATCTCCCAGCCCTCGGTCCCGAACGTCCGACCATGCACTTGTTCCTGCAGCTCTGCGAACCACGCCATCAGCGCAGGCATTCCGATCGGGGGTCCGTATTGCAGGGCGCCGGCCAGTTCGTCTCCGACCAGTGATAGCTGCAGCGGCGCCTCGCTGTCGCCTCCCGGAGCACTCGCGCTGAAGTTGAGCGCGGTGAACGGGAAGGAGTACGGGTTGGGTCTGCCCGCGAGAAGGGAGATCAACCCGGGGCGATTCTCAAGCGGGAATAGGCTGAGGACTGTCCGGGAGGTCAATACCCTCCTCCTCCTCTATCTACAGGCCAGGGACCGTCATCACGCACTGGTGCTAGGCGGCCGAGACTTAGCGACATCGGACAAAAAGGGAGTGTAGAAAGACTCTGGGAGACTGTTTGTGGTGATCTGCGCGAGATGATCCAGAGGGACAGTCGGTTGGCGCAGTCTTGCTCACCTTGCCAGCCATTATCGATGGGCAATGGTGGTTAGAGTGAAGCCGGGGCCGAAGCGAAGAAGCAAGCTCGTAGTTGTATCATACTACCTGTCACCCACCCCCATCCCCGTCGGACCTGTGATCGTTATCCACAAAGTCTCCGGCTCAACACCGTGCCCTGTCTGGATGTTCATAACACTAAACCTTTTCCAGCCGAGCAACGGGACGCTAGGAAACTGGTTTGCTAAGCTTTTCCGGTTGTGAATATCGACGACACGCTCGGCAGCCACTTTCTGGGGAAGGCGATGTTGCTGGCTGATAACCTTCCAGAAGCTGAATAAAACAGTCGAAGGGGGAGCATGTGGCTATGCCCGCGCAGCTGGCGGAAAACGTCACGTGCGCGTGTTTTGTCATAATCCGCCTGGATACGGCAGAGACGAATCTGTGTATGGCGTTCGTCCGTGCCTGTTACAGCAGGAAGGGATTCATGCAGAGCTAGAAGTGCTAATTTTGGACAAAATGGAAATGCTTGGGGGCAGCCGATCCCGGTATATCACAAGAGTTCTTTTGGCGAGATTAGATGATTTAGTCTCATGATGATCAACTACTGACAAGTTTAGACAAGAAGTTACGAGAATAGTCAGATCGATAACGTAGTTGTTCTCAAGTCTAATTCAATTTGAGATTGATCAATGCGACCATTTAATATTGTTGAACGGTCTCAGTCATGTGTCATCATTGAACTCTCAAGTGATTGATGGCTGAAAGATCTGCGCATACGAGCGAAAAAATTCGAGGGCAATAGGCTCCTGCCCGCACAACCGATATCTGAAAACTTCGATAAAAGATCACTCTTAACATCTTCATGTACATGATCGAGTAAATTACTGGCGAACTTCGAGAATGGTCTCGCGCAATCTTTTGAGAGCCTCGTCTACTTGCTCGGGGGTTAGGAGGCTGAACGCAGCGCGAACGTACGCCGATTTCCGGCCGTTCGGGAGGAACGCAGTCCCTGGAAGCGCAAGAACGCCGTGTTGTACCGCCTTGGTCCGAATCAGCTCAGCAGAATCATCGCCGGAGCCCGCAAGATTCAGCTTGAACCTGGAAATCGCTCGGGATACCATCCATTTTGAACGAGATCTGGAGATAACTCACCAGAAGAAGAGCCCCGCCTCTGGTGCAGTCCATTCAGCCAGCCCGCTGAGGTGCTTGACCATCGCAGCCTGGAAGATATCCCGTTTCTCGCGATAGAAATTGGAGACCCCCGCAGTGTGCAGCATGAATCCGTCGACTCCCCAGGCCGAAAGCAGTTTGGCTGAGATGACCTGGACGAGCGACGACGTCTGTAAGTTGGAAGTAGCGGTGTGGGCCTCGATCGCCCGCAAAATGGGAGTGGGCCCGGAGAGGAAGCCGAGACGCATTCCAGCCGAAAGAATCTTGGAGAATGAATCAAAGCGCAGAACGCGGCCTACGAGTTCCGATTCAGTGCGTTCGAGGGCAAAATACGACGGGGCTCTTTCTTTGCCATAGAACAAGAAGTAGTATGGATCGTCTGTTGGGGTTCAAGTGGCGAGTCGTTTTTGAGAGGATGGGAATACCTTCCATGATCAGAAAATTGTGCTCGTTGGCTAGTCGCAAGACTTCTCTGCGACGTTCAAGTGAAGCTGTTGACCCAGTTGGATTTCCTCCATACTGGAGCAGGGTTCACAGAGAGAAAGAGAACAACAACATTATGAGTTACCGGGATAGTGTAGAGAACACGGGGTTTGGGCTTCTCCGCGGGCCAAGACTCGAGAATCAAGCGGAGAGAGCTACTTGATATGCCGTCAGCGTCTCCCTCAATCTCTGGCCGACAGCCGTGAGAATGCATCGTGGTGCATCCAGAAACCACGCACCAATTTGCTCGCAGTTCAAGCTATGGAACAAGGGAATTACACCGCTGCGGATCTCCATTAGCTCTAGCGTGCTGTGATTTTCTGCACGCACGCGTAGATCGGGGACTGCACAAGAACCGAGTCTCCAGGATTAAGCAGGGCAGTGATTGCCTGCATTGTAAGAGCACATCCAGTTCACTAGCTCCACACACCTTTGCCAGCAGATCCTGGGATCCAGTCCCTACAATCACCTGCCATCCTTCTCCCAGAGACCGTCCATGTACATGTTCCTGCAGCTCCGCCAGCCACTGCAGAAGAGCAGGCATACCAGCGGTAGGTCCGTATTGCAAAGCGGATGTCAGATCATCCCCGGAAACCGAGAGTTCGAGCTCCTCTCCTCCTCCTCGAGCTTGGCCACCAGGCGCGGTCGTGCCGAATTTGAACGAGGTAAACGGGAAGGAGTACGGATTCGGCTTCCCCGCGAGTAGGGAAATCATCCCTGGTAGATTTTCAAGCGGGAACAAGCTTCGAACTTAGTAAGAGATTAACGCGGTCAGGGATTGCGAACTTTGAGACTAGGCACGCACTGGGGCTGGGAAGCCGCGCCTTAGCGACATCAGACAAGAAGGGAGTATAGAAATCCTCTGAGAGACTAGGGATAGAGGTCTGTGCAGTATTAGGCTAGTTCCATTTCGTATTGACAAGTGTACCGTGTGTGGCATAATCGATCGAGGCGGTGGTAGAAAGGCGAGATCAGATGGGGGAAACCTACAATCAGCGCGTGCACGTGACGGGTCAGCACTCTTGTCTTTCCGTCACCTACGCCATGCCAAGTCACGATTCAGTCCTTGTCAATGTCAATATATCTGCCCACTGCGCGTGTCTGCTGTCTTGTCTCAGAATCCACTGTCGCTCGATGCGGGAACGCACTGAACGCTGCGCCGCACGTCGTATGCTGCGACCATTGTCAATCTTACCATGGCCGTCGTTCCACGAGTCAGAGTTGCGACTCCGCAGCGCCCATGAGCGCCTATAAAGCTCTGGTTCGAAGCCACACTCCATCTCATTGAAATTCCTCCCACTCGCAACCACCTTACACATGGACGACGAAATTGCAGCGCTGGTACGCTTACGGTGCGATTGGGGACCACAAGTCTGACTGGTATCGCAGGTCATCGACAACGGTTCGGGAATGTGTAAAGCTGGTTGTAAGTTACTTCTCGTTCTCTCCCTTCTGCGTATGTACTCATCAAGCTTCTATAGTCGCCGGTGAGAGATATGCATTCGTGCGCTCGACGTGTCAACTCAATACTGTCTAGGCGACGACGCGCCTCGAGCTGTATTCCCGTGAGACCTCTACATCTACTTGTCTCACTTTATCCTCATTCATCCAGCTCTCTCGTCGGCCGCCCTCGTCAGGCCGGCGTCATGGTGGGCTTCGGTAACAAAGATTCGTACATTGGGTAAGTTTTAGCAGCCACGCAGTTGTCATTTTTCCTCATCTCCATTCTTTTCTCAGCGATGAAGCGCAAGCTAAACGTGGTATTCTGTCGCTCCGCTACCCGATCGACCATGGCGTGGTAACGGACTGGGATGACATGGAGAAGATCTGGCATCACACCTTTTTTAACGAGCTGCGCGTTGCGCCAGAAGAACACCCCGTCCTGCTCACCGAAGCCCCGCTGAATCCCAAGTCTAACCGGGAGAAGATGACGTCGATCATGTTCGAAACGTTCAACGCGCCTGCGTTCTACGTTCAGATCCAGGCCGTTCTCTCGCTCTACGCCTCGGGCCGCACGACCGGGATTGTGCTTGACTCGGGCGACGGCGTGTCCCACACAGTGCCGATCTATGAAGGATTCTCCCTTCCGCACGCCATCAAGCGCCTCGACCTGGCGGGACGCGACATCACGAGCCGCCTCGTGTCGAATCTCGGGGAGCGGGGCTATCAATTCAAGACGACCGCCGAGCACGAGGTCGTGCGCGATATCAAGGAGCGACTGTGCTACGTTGCTTTGGACTTCGACCAGGAGATGACCACTGCAAGCCAGTCGTCCGTGCTTGAGAAGAGCTACGAGCTTCCGGATGGAAACGTCATCACGATTGGGAACGAGCGGTGAGTAGTAGCTCCTGCGCTGTTTGTTCTTTGCACGTGTTGATTCATCCTCATAGCTTCCGTGCGCCAGAGGCACTCTTCGACCCGTCGATGATAGGATTGGAGGATCCAGGGATTCATTTTACCACGTTCAGTCCCCGCTTCATCTCCCTGTTTTGAAAGCTCACTGATCGGCAGATACAACTCGATCGTCAAATGCGATCTTGACATTCGCCGCGAGCTTTACAACAATATAGTGCTCTCCGGCGGAACCACTCTGTTCCCGGGCCTGTCTGACCGCATGCAAAAAGAACTCACTGCTCTCGCCCCGGCCAGCGTGCGGGTGCGTTTCGTTCGCCGCCACCCATTGATACATGAGCTCATGTCCCCGTCTTCATCCAGGTCCGGGTGGTAGCCCCGCCGGAACGAAAGTACTCCGTTTGGATCGGAGGCTCGATCTTGGCGTCTTTGAGCACGTTCCAGAACCTGTGGGTCACCAAGCAGGAGTACGACGAATCAGGACCTGGGATTGTGCATCGCAGTGAGTGTGACATCAATGATATGATCCGCCTCAAGCTAACTTGAGCTCTAGAATGTTTCTGAGTCCATAGACTCCGTTCTTGTCAAGATCTTCCCTGCATTGTAACAAACCGTGGATATGACGCGCATGTAACCAATTATAACGTATTTTCTTGGAATCGGAAGTGAAACGTATACCGGCCCAGTCGCATGAGCCATGCAGACTCGTTTCTGAATCATTCTCACATCAGTGGAAACGTTAAGATGAAGGAAGATATTCCTGCAGGGCCACTGAAGGCCTCTGGTTTTCTCCGTATGGAAAGTGTCCGACACTTGAATCATCTGCTGGCCTCAATCGGCTGCTGTTCAAGACCTCGAGGCTGTGAGCGCTACCTAGTCGTTCTGTAGCTGCTTGAATTCTCAGCTATCGCCAACGCCCTGTGTGCTTCAAAATGTAGCTCACACACCCCATGTTACCAACTACGTCAATCTGCCGATGCCAGGTCGACACGCGCACTCGCATAGACCTCCCCTCAGCTCACCCGTATTGCTTCCCTTCCGACAATAGCCTGTGGAGGGTGCGCCGGACGATGAAATTGTGTAGCGGCAAATATATGTTCTGCACACACGCGCTTGCTGTACTGTCCCCACGACCTTCGACCTGGACACCAGTGAAAGGAGCTGCGGAAGTGCATCACAGAAGTTGCTATTCGGGGCGTCATCTGGAAGGCTGTTGTACTTGATTGTGCTCGAGGCCTCGGGGCACCGGGGCATCGGGTGCCATTGTCGCGGCATTGCGGGTGTCAGATCTGGAATTTCCCAGGCGACATATCACGACGGCGTTCGATCGATTCTGAGCGAGTTATGGGAACAGGAAGCGATGCCCGATGACTTTGTCTCGTTCGTCGTCTCAAGCATGACATTGCACGCGAAAGCACAGTAGGGCTACAAGCATGCTGAAATCCCACTACTCCCTGAACGAATATTCCCGGCTGTCATCCTCTCAAAGGTGCAGATTGGGGGCAGGTCTCGTCCTGCCACGGCGACATCGAGGTAGTTACCAGGGCAAAGAATACTGACGACGTTGAGTCATGGCGTGATAACCCGCCAGTACCGCGTTGTGCGCCTCGGTCGGCTCGTCTCTTGATCTGAGCATCCGTCTTCAGCTCTCGAAAAGTTCTCTGGTGATGCGAGCCGTCCTGAAAATCGTGGCGGAGGCAGATGATACCTTGAGCGAACAGAAGGGCGAGGAGAAGTTCTTAAAAGCAGATGAGTTAAACGTTCATCCAGCCATCGTCTGTTTCGCGGCTGACAGTATTTTCTCCCTGCTCGAATGCATTGCGTTGCCGCCTCGTGTGCGACAGAGCCGATCCTGCCAAGTTCACAATTCCCCGTCGTCTGCACGCCATTCTCCACCCCAAAGCCCTCCGTGAAGTGAAGCCCAAGGTCACCACTTTACGGTTCGTTCAGGACAGTACTAGTGGAAAGCCCGAAGATGTGCATCCGCTTCTGGTCACAGACGCACAGGAAAGCAACATTGGGGTCCTCGGTAGCAGAAAGAGCTCTAACTATTACCGCCCACGATTTTTGGATGCTGGAAGGTAGAGATAGGTCCACGAAGAGAGCGACGGCCGAGGTCGGAAATTAGCGGATGCCAGTTTGGATGAACCCGTCAATCGTCCAGAAGCGCGTTAGAATTGTGAAAAAGTGGTCTTCTTGGATGGTTGCATCGAGGAATGTGCACATTCTCAGCCTTCCAGGAAGGTTGACATTGTTGAGAAGTCATATCCGGTCCAGGCGGATGACAGAATAACAAATGACCCTGACAAGAATGACTCTAAAAAACCAAGCCAAGGACTCAATTGTGTCACATTGTGACCGTCTGATTCAATTCCCGCTGCGCGCTTCAGCCTGAGCCCTTGCCTACGCCGGCGCAGCCTCGCTGGTGTAGCCATCTTCCCTTTTCCCCTTCAGCAGCCACATGCGTGCTCCCAGTCCCGGGCTGTTTCATCGCCTGAACATTGCCCTCAGACTGTCCCCTGCAGCCGCATCATTCCCACCCTCGTCAAAAGCGGCACCCCTTCAAGTCGTGCTCCAGCTTTTTGCATGGTCTATCACGACCATCGGCCGCCTCGTTCTGCACTTCCACATACTCCTCATTTCCCTCTATGTGTTGTTCCATGTCTGGAATCGCGTGCTGGACCACGTCACCTTGCAACTCGGCGGACATTGGGAGCCTGCATTTCCGCAGAACCGCACGTACTTCGTCGTGGCGCTCATCACGGTTCCGATATGGTCCGCGGTAATGGCAGGCGCATTGGCAGTGCTAGCTGGGGTCCGATACTTGTGGCGACGACTCGGGAGAGGCAGGACAAGATTGTATGAACCGCTGGGAGATTTCGAATCCGAGGGAGGGTCCCCTCGTCGACTTCGTCCGCCGCCAGTACGAAGGTCCATTCCTTGGCTGTTTTTCCTCTGGTGCGGACTCGTTGGACTCGCTGCGTTTGGCGTCTACATGCGCCGGACCTACGAGCTGCCGATCGACCATCGCTTCAAAGCCGATGTCGAGCTTGCCAATCGGGAACTGCGAAGAGAAGGGTACGGGACGGGAGAGAAGATATTCCTGGCTGCCATGTTCTACAATAACGCTGGGGTACTGCCCTACTGGATCACGGAAGTCACCAAGTTGATCAATTACTTGGGCCCCGACAACGTCTTTGTGTCTATTGTGGAGTCGAACAGCGGTGACGAAACGGCCACGCTTCTCGAGGCCTTTGACGGGACCCTCGCCTCAATGGGTGTCTCGCGCTCGGTCCTCACACGCGACACGTCGATCCCGCGTCCCCAGTCGATGGAAACGAAACCGCCTCGTATCGAGTTTCTTGCGGCAGTGAGGAACCTGGTTATGAAGCCGCTTGAAACACATACCGAATATACGCGCGTAGTGTTCAGCAACGACGTTTTTATCGAGGCGGAGAGCATCGTGGAGCTCATCCAGACGAAAGAAGGGGATTATGATATGGCCTGTGGACTCGATCTGGCGTATTGGGGGTTCGTTCCTATCACTCTCGATGCTGATTCAGTGCTAAACTTGATCAGATTGTACGACCAATGGGTCATCCGCGATAGGCTTGGAGGCCTGGCATCAACGGTCTGGCCATATTTTCAGGAAAGACTGGGCTATGAAGCTGTGATGGCAGATGAACCCGCGCCGGTATTCAGCTGCTGGAACGGTATCGTGTCCTTCAAATCCGACCCGTTCCTCCACCCTTCGAAACGGCACGGCCAGCTCTCGACATCCCCGTTATCCTGGCCGCTATTAGCAACTCATCCTTCTGCTGCGACGACCCCGGCCAACATGACGCCGGCAGAAACGCCCGCTCTGGTCTTCCGTGCATCCACCGAGACAGAGTGCTTCAGTTCGGAGAGCTTTCTCCTCCCCTACGACTTCCGGCGGCGCTTCGGGCTGGAGAAGATCTTTGCGAATCCGCGTGTGATCAACTCGTACACATGGGAGTACTACGTTTGGTTCAAGTACGTCTGTAGGCACTGGATGGTCAAGTGGTGGATCGAAAACGTCGAGGCGGGGGGCCAGATGTTCCGTGCCAAGATGATTCTAGGAAATCCCAGCAACTTGTATACTTCGGACGGCTTTGAATGTCATCCGGTAGGTGATTTAGCTGTCTTCAGGATCGCAGCTGATTCATGTGTAGTGGCGGTAATATACGACTCGTTTTGTAATTGCATGTACATGATTTAGGAGATCTATGTGTTATAATGATAGATTTTTCGCTCTCGTCTTGAAGACGGATCGTCCCTATTCCACTAATACATCCTGTAGACTTGCACGAGCGAATGAATGAGTTTCACGTGCAACATCTCCAAAATCACGTGCAACATCTCCGCTTTCCTCTCACTGCAAATAGCAAGCGCAAGGCATGACAGGGAGAAAAGGTGTATTAAAAACAACAAACAGGAGAAAGAACTAGATGTAAAGAAAACAAAGCACGTGGATGTGAGAGGTGGAGAAGATGAGTGTGCAATGTGATGCTTTTGGGTACGACCGCTCTCACTCGCCGTCCATCGTGACATCCATCATGGTAAGATCGCCATCGACGGCCTCATTCTTATCCTCTTGCTCCGCAGCGACCCCGTTCGTTTCCTCTGTGTGAACTTTCTCTTCTTCAGTGCCATTCGCTGCGGCGCCATCGGTATCTGGCCCGGCTTTATGCGCATTGAGAATCTGCTGCCACTTGTCAACCAGGGCCTTGGCCCTTTCACGGAACTTGAAGTCGGCGTCCCGGGGAGCCCGTTCGTCCTCAAGAAGATGAATGTGCCGCATCACCTTGCCGATCTTGGAGAACTGTAAACAGCGCATCAGCTCCTGATGCTCGGAGGGAATATTGCCATAACAGACAGTAAGATAGTCGATGTTCATTCCACCGTAACTTTCCACGGTGGTAAACAGAGTATCGATTGCGGGCATGTCCTGATAGTATCTGAATCAGGATGTCAGTTCACTGGGGACAACGTCAGCACACACATCGTCTTTAGGCACAGTCTTGTTGCTGCTTAGGAACGTCTTCTGAAGCTTATGGCGCCATTCTCGCACTTTGACCGCCTCAGGATCGCTCTCCAGCGCAGCATTGGTCTCAGCCGCACTGCCCTTGGATTTCTTCGTCGGTGGCTTAGTTGAGCCGTCATCTTCACTCTCCACCGTCTCTTTGCTCTTCTTCCCTTTGCCTTTCTTAGCAGCACTCTTCTTGGCTACAGGCGAGCTTGCTCGTTTACGTTTCTTTCCAGGTTTGGAGTCTTCCGAGTTGTCTACCCATCTGATTCAGCACAGGAACAGAATGAGGCATGCAAGCGTACCTTCAGCTAACTCATCTTCATCCTCATCGTCGTCGTCCTTTTTCTTGCGTCCTTTCCGCCCTTTCTTGGGGGGTGGTGTAGCAGTTGTTATGGCTGCTTCCCAGGCCTCAGGATCCAACGCTTTCTTGTAACCATCCACGAGATCGGGTTTGGTTCGTTGCTCGGGCGCTTCGATGAACTGCAGGATCTGACTGTGCGGCAGATTCGTAATGTCCCGCGGAGAAAGCCATGCACTGATGCTGATCAACGTCAAGAGCTAGACCAGGAAACACACGCACTAGTCGCCCGAAGGGAAAAATCGCACCGCGTAGTACGTGATCTTCTTCGTTGCGGGCCGTTCCTTGGCGACTGATTTAGGAACCGTACCGGGGTCAACTACCTAGCGATGAGTGTGAGCAGGAAGTTCCAGAAAGATGTGCATAGGTATGAGAGAGGTAAATCAGGGTGCACGGACGGCCTGCTTCAAACAACGGTCGAAGACAGGGAGATATCAGGATCCTCAATGATCGAACGACGACGAAAGACGCTTGGTGAGCCATTGTACACCATCGACGACCATGAAAATGATCAGGTGACAGTGGGGGCGGGTTACGTGCAAGAAACGGGTAAACGAGCAGTTCATGGGAATAAAAGCGGTGTCCCCGCTGGGGAGGACGATGACACAGTTCAGAAGAAGGGAGAGGACCAAAGCCCAAAGACCATACGCGTACGAAAATCCAAAAGCACCCAAGCGGGCTGAAAAAACGGTGTCGTGTTCGCCCCTTGAGGACGACAGAGACGATACCGAAGACCCAGGGTGAAGATTCAGGTCTCGGGATAAGATATACAGGTGGCAGAGGCCGCCGAAGGGAGATAGAGATGTGAAAATTGAAAAGCAAGGGGTTGAAGGGAAAAAGCGTGATTGTAAGAGAAATCGGACAATCCGTTAGCTGTGGACACCAGACATGATGTGGAGTGGGCCCAGGAACTGAAATAAAACGTAAAAACAGCCCCCAGAGGAGCCGAAAAAGAAAGGGGATGCGTTTTTGAGGAAATTGGGGCAGAAAGGTGCACGAGGAGATGTGGGAAGACCAAGTGGACTCTCGAGCTGATTGAGCGAAAGCTTCGGAGCACTAGATGCGTGAAAGACAGGCGATAGCCCTCCTGACAGTAGGCACCAATGTAACACAAAATCGGGGGATGTGGGATATCAAGCGCATACTTCGCTTGCGAACCGCGCAATAACGATCCAGGAGACGCAGTAAGGAAAGATGTCTTTGAATCATGAGTGGAAGGCATGGCCACATGACGCGCTTGTCCGTGGGCCGGGGCTATGTCGCCACCAGAACGAGATAGGATGGTGAACGCAGGGTAAGTGCATCACTGGATACAGCGCGCAGAGAAAGATGAAGCACGAGCGAGACAAAGGCCCCTTTTATACGCGAATGGTGAAGAGACAACGGGAAGGCATGCACTCACCATCGCAGGCCACGGGGGGAATCCACGCATCTTCCCGAGCACGACCTCACGGTACTCGAAAGTCTTCTCCTCTTCTTCCTTCGCACTCGCAGTTTTAGTACCGCTCTTCTTTGCACTCATCGTCTGCGTGTCGCGATTGAGTTTTTGTTTGTTTGTAGGATTGAGGCCAGAAGTCGCTTGCTTTGACCCGTTGGGGGACCAGGGAAACACCAGAGAGAAATGCCTATTCAAAGACAAGGAATGCAGTCAGAGACCGCCGATGAGGAAGGCGAGAAGACGTCGAGGGACCTCAGAGGCGACCGCGGGTTCTGGACGAGTGGAAGCGGAAAGTAAGTCACACCCAACGCTGTGTCACGTATAAGCGGCAGCACGTGACAACTCATTACTTTGTTTGTTGACTGCGCGAAAACCACTTTCGTCGAGACGTTCTTGCGTGGCCCGAAGCGTGTTAGCGTCCTTGGCTCTACCTGTACACCTATATTTTTCTTCCCATCCCTTGTGAATTGCCCCGAAAACCTGTGTAGCATCGATCTGCACAGATCATCTCACTCCCACACTGACGGCATCGCCGTTCCAGCACACCTGTTAGGGATGCACCGGAACCTGCAGACCCATCGAAAACATATCCTTGCGGTGGTCTTCGCCCACTATTTGTCACACGTAGACAGCCCGTTCCCAAAAAGATGCCGATGGATCAAACAGGGCCGGATGCCGGACTTCCGTCCACATGAGCTCAGTATATGGGTCGAGATCCGATTCTTTAAGACGTCCGTCTTTTCGTTTCGATACCGACCCAATGTCCGCTCAAGAGTCCATCCCAGTGTTCACCAACCTCACCGATCTCTACGCTAGCCTCGGTACCGCCCTTAATCACGCCGAGCGATGGGACAATCTCGCTGAAGAATTCGAAACCCGGTTCGGGAAGAAGCCGACGTATATTGTTAGGGCACCTGGGCGCGTAAAGTGAGTTGCTTAGCGTGTGTACATATGCGACAGTGTTCACGATCTCTCTGCCAGTCTTATTGGTAGTCGCCGGCCTACCATGACTCACCCTCTTCTCACTAACGGCGCTTCCAGGCGAGCACATCGATTACGCACTCTTTGGCGTCCTGCCTGCAGCAATCGAGCGCGATATCCTCATCGCCTGTGCCCCGCGCGATGTTCCGGACACCCCGTCTGAACCGCACCACGATCCGGGCAGTGTCATAGCAGAGAACCTGTACGCGAAGTACACGAGACAGATCTTCGCACCGCAGGCTGATGTGCACGTCGAGGGCTGGCATCTGGAGATCCCAGCTCAGTTGCGCTGGGAGAACTATGTCAAAGCAGGGTACTACGGCGTGCTTGACGAGCATTTCAAGGGTTCCGCAGTCCATCCCCTTCCAGTGGACTTGCTGGTCACCGGATCTGTGCCTGCGGGCTCAGGGCTCTCGTCCAGCGCTGCCATGGTCGTAGCCAGCACACTCACGTTCCTCGCAATCAACGACAAGGTGCGGGGCCCAATCTCTCGTCGCACTCTGAGTGGGATTCTGAATGTACACCGTAGCTCAGCGGAACTACGAAGGGCGATCTGGTCAAGATGTCGATGGAAAACGAGAAACGAGTAGGCGTCAACAGTGGAGGGTGTGTGTTTTCTCTTATTCATGCTCGATGCTGACTACGATCAGCATGGATCAAGCTGCCTCTGTGATGTCCGTGCCTTCCTCCGTGCTCTACATTACATTCTATCCATCTCTCACCGCTTCGCCGACTCCTCTGCCAGCCGGAGCTGTGCTTGTATGCGCCCATTCACTCAAGGTATCGGACAAGGCTCTGACAGCGAAAAGTGGATACAATCTCCGTGTGGTAGAAACCTTGGTCGGGGCGCGAGCGCTGGCCCGGACGCTGGGTATCGATATCGGTCCGAAGGAGAAGATCACCTTTAGAGAGGTCGCTGGTCGTCTGGTGCAGGAAACGGATGTTTCTTCTGGGGGAAAGGGGATGTCCATCGAAGCGCTGATGGACGTTCTGCGTCGTTTGAATGCCACTGTCGACAGTCTGAAGCCAGAAGGTTCCACAGATCCCGAGTTCGGTGCCACGAAGGAGGAGATGATCGCTCTTTCCGGGTTATCGGCTGAAGAGTTCGAGCAGGTGTACCTGTCATGGGTCGAAGGTGGGTGAAATGTGAAACGAGTATCCTGTAGTTTGAAGATCTGATCTGTCTTTTAGTGGATGCGACACATTTCAAGCTGTACAAGAGGGCGAAGCACGTCTTCTCTGAAGCCCTGCGGGTTCTTCAGTTCCGAGAGTTATGCTTGGCTGCTGGGAATGACAACCTCTCGGCACTGCAGGAGCTGGGCCGGTTGATGAACGAGTCACAGACGAGCTGCGCCGAAGACTTCCAATGCTCGTGCGAGGAGCTCGACCAGCTGACGCAGATCTCACGGGACGCTGGGGCATATGGTAGCCGGCTGACGGGTGCTGGATGGGGAGGCTGCACTGTGTCATTGGTTCCAGGAGACAAGGTCGAAGCGTTCATCAAGCATGTGAGCGAGAACTACCCGCCGTACAAGGGTCTCGCAGGGGATGCGCTTAACGAGGTGATCTTTGCGACAAGCCCGAGCACAGGGGCGTGCGGTGAGTCTCTTTTCTGTTGCCCAACGGCCAGCTGGCTCATCCAGTGCGTCAGTGTACAAGTTTTAGAAAAGAGTTGTGTGTATCTTGTATATCATCTAGAAACACGAATTCACCTCGTCGTGATCTTTTGAACTGCTCCGCAAAGTATAGGAGGCATCCAGTCTAGATCTTCAGCTCCTCATGCAGTTCGATGGCTAGCCGCTAGTCCATGCCTAGTGCGACACTTTGAGGTGAGAGAATCTCTACAAAGGTTTGGGACTTTCAGAAAAGGAACTAAGATGAGACCGAAGGATACATCAAGAGCTCAGTTCTTTGGTAATTTTGTACACTCGAACGTGAGGAATGTTCTTTCCGTTGGCACGCCAATATTCGTCATGATACGGGAATATTATTGTCAAGAAGGCTTGGACAATTTCATCATCGCCCCTCAAGCGAGGAAGTCCTTTCAACCTCAAAGGCTAGGATCTCTCTTTAAGCAAGTGAGTTGCGACGCGTTCGTGCACTCATAAAGAATTGATACAATCCCGCATTCGTACCGACGCGCACCCAATCGCCAGCAGTATAGGTTAATACCAGAAAGTACTCATCGGCTAGCCGCAGACCCAGCGATCTGAATGCAGCGGCGGCATGCACGTTTCGTGTGAAGTCAGCCAACATTAGATCAACGTAAGCCTGATGAACAAGCGCGTACTGGCAAGCCCGTTTACGCTCGGATCAGTGTGCCACACGCCGATGTGATTCCCCCACACCCAAGAAGAGAAAATCACCGATCAGAGGAGTCGAGGATATATCGCGCAGGCATTTTCGGAACGTCGAATTTTGTCATTGAGTCGGCGCATACACATGGGTGTGCGGATAGGCAGACCTTTTTTAGGCTCCTGACCTGTGCGTTTGTGGTTCGGCATCTTACATGAAACAACCCCAGCGCTCCAATCGGAGTCAACGGTCGCGTTCCAAACGAAGCGAAAGATGAGAGAGGGGATGATGAATGATTAGCGAAGCTCGGCTGAAAGAGAGAGACAATCCCATCAGAACGGCGACGGAAGGGAACTCGAAAGTTTTAGATCCTCTACCAGGCACACGTGACCCTTGTTCAACCTCGCAATCGGAACCTGGACGCAGTATATGAAGATATGTCAGAAGAAAAAATTTATTCAGGATAATCAATCAACAAAGAATTCGAATATGAAACGGATTACAGAAATGTGCTATTGCATACATCGAAGGCTCAGGCAGCGAGCGACGTGATGGACGCCGGGAGCGCATCATAGAGGGGACACAGCTGGTTCCACTCGGAGGTCGGAATCAGCTGCGAGTCCCAGTCGGGAACATCTTCAGCAAATACGATGGCGAAGCCAGCTTCCAAATGCCAGTCAATATGGCAGTGGAGGAACCACGCTGTCCCATCGTCAGTCGTTTGAATGAAGCAGACAAGCTAGTGAATTTGAGCTCACGTCCGCGGTTGTCCGTGAAGAACCGGATCGTGACGTTGTCTCCGGTGGTGCCAATGTTGACGACGTCGCGGCGAGCGGGGTTGGCGTAGTTGTAGGTGCTGCTTCCGGCGGCGCGAATCACGTCGAAGGCATGTCCGTGTAGATGGAAGGGGTGCTGTATGACATATAAGTCTCAAGACGACGAGAGGAGAGACCGACTGACGCCACCGCCGATTACACCACCTGCAAGAGTGACTTCAACTGACGCGAAATGCGGAAGCGTGAAGATCGAGCCCGTAGGGAGCAGTGACTGCGCGTTCTGTGCACCAGACAGAATCTGAAGCAGCACTGGAACAGTAGGCGGAACAAACGAGACGTTGTTGATCGTGAATTTAAGCGTCGTCTGCGAGACAATCAGCGCCTAGACAGATTTACAGTACGTGTGGCGAGCGCACCAAATTGAACGCCAAGGCCAAGTTGATCTGAACATCAGCGCCACCGATGAACGCACCACCGGGGGCACCGGGATTGACGAGGGGGTGTAGATTGACTTCATTTACTAGTCCGTTCACAGAAGTGTCCTGCGAAGTCGTGGGCTCTGATGAATTTGCCCCTTGGTCTACGGCAGGTGTGAGTATAGGACGGGATCATTCGATGGTGTTGACTTACAACGCAAAATCGCAGAGTTGATTCCCCCGGTAAAGCCAGTCGGGCCGGTGTTCGGGTTTGCGCGAACCCAGTAGTTGTCAACAGCTTGATCCGCCGTCAGGATGAACGAATAGCGTTGGGCTGGAGACGATCAGTGACTGCTCGCCGAAAAACACCAGCGTAAAGCTCACCAGGGTAAATCTGGATGGAGTCGACGCTCAACGGCTCGTGGAGGATACCATCAGCCTCGATGATGGTAAGATTCGTGTGACCGTCGATCTGGAACACGTAGTTGGAGTCGCAGGCGGTGTTGACCAACCGGAAGCGGTAGCGCAGGCCTTGTGTGACGTTGATTACGGCCAGGGTTGTGTTTGAGAGCGTAGCTGCGGTACGTCCGAGACCGTTGATCAGCATGGAAGAGGGAACGCTAAAGTCAACTTTCAGAATCTGGTCACAGGATGCAATATGTACAAGACTTACCCCACACCGATCACGGTTTCTGCGAAGACGTTGTACCAGTCGGATAAGGTGATTACCGTGGACTCGTCGTCGACGTCGTACTGTGAGAGGTAGGCGTCCTGGGGATCATAAATGATCATCGCGCCACGCAGGCCATCGCAGTATTGGGTAGCCAGGTGAGAGTGATACCAGAACGTTCTGAACGGAAGGGAATCAGAAGTGATGCAAATAGCAACAGGAGCTTACTCACCCCGCCTGCTGTGAGGTAAAGTCGTATGTAAACGAGTTTCCAGGAGAGATCGGACACTGATTGACGAAAGAAGGCCCGTCCATGTAGTTCGTCCCGTTCTGGAACAACCCATGCCAGTGCTGCGGGAAACACGTGAGTGTTCTGGGAAACGGGAGACGCAGACTGAACTAACGATGGAAGTGGGCTCGAGCATACGAATGTCTTGCTGCTGGTCGATGACCGTCAGCTGGAAATTGTCCCCGATGTTGCCCGTCACGACAGGGCCAGGAAACGTCCCGCCGGCCAGAACCGCTGCGCGGGGGATACCATCGGGAGCGATGGTCTGGTTGGCCACCACTAGTGAGCCAATAGGTCCTACTGTGACAGCCGAAACTATCCGAGCTGCAGATGCAAGAAAGAGAAGCGTTGGGGAGATGAACATCTGGAGGGAGATTATCAGACGAGTCAACACTGAGACCGGTGTTGTTGTTTCTCGAGTGAGTTTGGAGGCTGCATTTATACGATTTCGATTGTCCAAAGCCACCCAGAATAATTCTGTCTCGTGAGCAATCTGAGATTGAGTTCAACATCTGAAGGCGGCTGCCTGGATGACAATGATGACTGAAAGTGTCTCCGTACAGATTCGAGCAGTGATAGAAACAACAGAGACTGACAAAGGGGGAAATGTCAGTGAAGAAGCAGAGTCCGTCCAGAGCGTGGTCCCAAATCAGTTAGAGTAAAAAGAGATATGCACACCGCAGCCGTCGACAGTGATTTACGTTTGATCTTCAGCCCTCGCAGGAAACCCTTCCCACCATGATCTCCGCAGTTCGCCTTTGATGTTTCATTGCTTGCTAAGGTCAAGATGGAGAATGTGCGGCAGACAGACTGATATGGATTTAACGAGAGCAGGAACGCCGCCCGTGACTCTTCCATCGCCGGTGCTGATCCAATGTCACCGGAGGAAGGTGACATGATAGCCGAGTGATCGGACTGATCAAGTCCGTCATCATATAGATGCATTTTTGCCCTCTGTGGCAGTCTGTGGCCTGGATTTTCCGAGAAGAGGGGGTGCGTGCGTACTTTTTATACGCTTTTAGGTCGAAAGTATCCCGGAATCCGAGCCTAGTCCTATACCGCGTAGGAAGAAAGACAGTTGAGGAGACGCACTGCCTGCTCTGCTTCTTGTTCTCCTTGGAGAAAGCCACGGAGTCCGTCAAAGTTGTTTGGATAGTCCCATATGCGCTGGATCAGCTTCTGAGCATTTTGAGCCAGCGTACTCTTTCTCGAATTGGGGTTCGTTCTGGCTACACTCTCTGCCGGTAGCAAAGCGCGATCGTCGGTCCCTGATGATCCATTTCTGCAGTTGGACTAGCACTGTTCTTGGCCCTACCAACTCAACGATGCTCGGCTTCTTCACCGCACGTGTCGTGTAGGTCATCGGATGACCGACCTCGACAGCGTCACAGCAACCGGGCACCGAGTCGGGCCATTCAACTTGGACTTATCTTTCATTTGTCGATGCAGGGGGGTTCTCGGTGACATTGTAATTATAAGCTGGAATTGCACTTGAGCGTACTTAAAATACGACAGCGAACCGCTAGCGGCCGTCGAATGTATGTGTGATTTGGAGAGATGCTTTCGCGGGTAAACTTTGTTTGCATCAGTCCAGCAAGAGAATGAGACGGATAAATGCAGCTCCAGACTGAGTGTCCGAGATCGGTCTATGTTGGTGCCTTGATAGGCATGGCTGGTTTGTTATGACAGTGCGTGAGATGAGGGAAATGATAAAACTCGGGATGACGGCAGAGCCTTGAGCGCCGTAGTACCGAATAACCGCTCAGTTGATTTCCATGACAAAGTCCGGAATATCTTGGAGTGTTATACGAGAAAGTGTCGTGGATGGTATTGTGTAAGTCGGACTCTGTCCGCAGTCCGCGATTCGGTGTCACCGCTGCGTTTATTTCCATGGATGATGGGGTAATCGAAGCGAGACCTTCAACAATCAGGCTAGCCGATGCGTCGGCACACACGAATATAGAGACAATCACGAGCTTTCAACCTGCTGCGGAATCGCGTTCTGCCCCAATGGCCGGTCAGTTCGCAATCCTTGCAATGTAGACGGACTGGGTTACAGGCATCAAGTTTCCCACTTGGAGCGCTGCACCGGGTGGAGAGATGACCAAGATATAGTCCCGCACAGTGGTCTCTATTCCTGATGATTCAGCTGACACCAGAAACATGAGCTCATCTTATCAGTTCGTCATGTGATCGCGTGCGTTATGTCGTCACTATGCGCATCGTTTTCACTGCCTCGCAAACATGCATGTAAACCTTGCATCGCAGATCAATCCTGCGAGTATATTGTGCAGCGATAGGAGCAACCCGGAGACCTTTTCTCTCGCCAGAACACAAATGCAGAGGATGTGCTTCTGGAGGATCACCCTAGACCACTGAGTTCACCTGGTTACAATTCTGTTTTGCCGTATGTGGGTGCTTTCGCCGTATGTGAGTGCCTTTATGCGCAAATCCATTTCAATTCTGATGTATAAATGAAGATGAGGAAGAACATATCGATGCGCTTCAATGGAGCTTGTGTGACCTTCAATCTATTCGTGACCTGTCCAGAGTGTCCACAGCAAGACCGGTGAAGCACAACGCAGCCATAAGTAATTTTGGATATCGGATGTCGATTTACGGTCATCTCAGGAGTCTTGCATTCGAGATCGACCAAAACATTTTGTATTGCCGAATCCTTATTCACTGGAGAAAGATAGTCGAGGGCAGTGCTGTCCCTCTTTTTCGAGGAAAACGTCTGATTGATGGACAGCCTTGATAGGCACAGCTCGTTGATAATACATGGTCTAGTCACCGCCTCAAGGCTCTGCGACACCGTACAATAGCTAGCGATGGACTGCGCTGAGCCTCACTCTCGGCTCTTCGAGCTTGAGATCCTGTTCCATTCCGACTTCTTTTCTGCACACAGCCGGGATGACACGCATCCCATCATATGGAATTGCTGTTCAAGACGGGTTCGGATCTTTCTCGCATTCTCTCAACGGCCTCTACTGTATAAATAGTCACCCATCTCCCACATGATATTTATAAATACGCCCACCATGGCAAACTCGCCACCGACACACGAATCGTATCTCGTCATTGGCGGTGGGACGGTCATTGGACGCGCCATCGTCTGGCAGCTTCTGCAACGCGGGGAGACGCAGATCGCGGTGTTCGATGGCCAGGATCTTTCTCACCCGGATAGCGTGAGAGAATGGACGGATCCGGATGGTGGTTTGACGCGCGTGAGGATCTACATGGGCGATTTGTCGAACGAGACCGATGTAGCTGGTGTTCTCGCTGCTGTGCGTTTCTCTGCTGCTGGTGAGACCGGTTGATGGAAGGCGGCAATGCGCATATAGACCCAGGCGACGTGCATATTCACGACGGCCTTCCTCAAGCCCCTCGGATCTTATGATGATCCACGTACGTTTGCGCGTAAGATCTGCGTCGATGGAACTCGCACGATCCTCCGCGCCATCAAAGCTGGTTCTGGGATATCACGCAGACTGGTTTTTCTCAGCAACGCCGGGATATTCTTCGACGGTACGGAGCGCACGGTATTGAGTGAGAAGGATGCAAGATATCAGGATCCTGCGACGCAGGCGGATTCGACGTTAGGTTTTCTTACTATTGGTGAGAAGATGGCACTCGAAGCGAACGATTCGGGGGCGGATGGACTGCGGACTGCGGCCATACGGCCTGCTGACATGTACAAGTGAGTTTCTTCAATCTCGCCGTGACAATACGCATGCTATAATTACGGCAAGTCCTTCAGGAAAGCTGCGCCAGGCTATCCAGGAGGGTCTTACTGCGGCCAAGCCCCAGTGGGTTACAGGCCCTGGCGTCCAAACCGACAAAACGTATTTCAAGAACGTATCGCATGCCATGCTGCTCGCGGCTGATCGCCTCTCCCCGGCGCATCCGAGGCATGCATCAGTCGCGGGTCGCGGATTCTTCGTCTCGGATGGAAAACCAACGCCTTATGCAACAATTGTCCCCGCTATTGTCGCTAAGCTGCAAGATGGTCGGGGGGCTCCTGACCCTGAATATGGGAAGCAAACGATGCTCGCGTTCTCCCGCATCAACGATTTTGTGGCACCCTGGAGAGGGAATAACCCCCCGCATTTTAATCATCAGCGGATGAAGTATCTGCAGGCGACTCGGACGTACGACATATCTTTGGCAAGAGATGTGTTGGATTATGCCCCTCTCATCTCGGCAGAAGAGGGCTTACAGAAAATCGCTCAGGTGAGTTGTTCACTCACTCAACCTGAAATCAGAAGTTCAGTCCCATCTCTCCTTGCAGTGGTACATTGATGACCAGCAAGTTAAACCGAAGGATGTATCCCCTGATGTCGGGCGGGATTTGGATCTGGAAACTTTCACCGGGCACGACATCAGAATGCGGCGCACCACTCAGCGGCGATACAAACATTACCTCGACTGATACTGTGCGATCGCATTCCCAGTTTCTTCAATCGTATTCAACTTTCGTGAATGTAAAAGTATGTTGTGGGCCTCAGGAATGGCATATGACGGCTGTCTGGGCTGTGACTTACGACAGATGACAGATGTCGAACAAGAGTATCAGCCGAGCTATGAACTCGATCAGCCACGCCTACATTCCCATAAGACTCTTGGCATTTCTCAATCCCAGGAGAGCCGTAGAGAATCGGAGAGTTCCGGAGTGTCCAAGATTCTGGGAAGGAATTCGTGCGGTCAGCCAGAGGGTGTGAAATAGGAAGCCCAGGTCGCTTGCGACGGCCAGTGCGACGGCCAAACTGCGCCCCCAGCCTTGATGCTGAAGCCGGAGCTCGGAGTGTACGAGTAGAGCCTAGGCATTCGGAGGGAGGTGACCGACGAGCGCCAGAAAGTATCGATTTCGTATCGTCCGGGAGCTCAGAGGTCGGATTGAAGGAGAAAGTTCGTAGAAGGGATGTCGAGCACAGCACTCTGGAAATATCCAAGTAGACGGCACCATCGGTGTTTGTTCGTCAGCCAATGAACGGATTCATTCACATCTCTCTGTACAATTCACCTCGCTAGCCCCCATCCATCCAGCAGACCAGGAAGATTTCCCCGCTTCACGAGCAGATGTGCCGCCGGCAGCCATGATCCGTCTCGAGTCCCTCAATGCAGGAGAAGGAGCTCACGCCAAGACATAGGTCGTAGTCCTCAGGTCTGTCGGATCGAAAAGTTGATGCGTATGTGCTCGCATGTGACCAGGCTCGAAACACGCAACCTCTGTGCCCCTCCACTTTTCCAATGCTCTCCCTCGGAATCCATGCTTGAACATATGGCTGGCTCTCGGAAGCTCGTAGAACCCATCTACCTGTCAACACCCTTGATCGATCGTGCTTGGCGCGCGGATAGTCGTGGCGTCAGCACCAATCTGCCTGCCATTGTGTCCTCCGCATCCAGGTTGTTGTCCCCAGGGTCCGTGCATTTACGTAGAGATCCCTAGAGATCCCTGTCGTCGATCCCCTCGTTCAGGCTGTTCCGTATAAGCCTGGATGTGCTTGTAGTTGGACGCACAGATAGAGTAAGCAAGACTGCGGCACACTCACCTTCCGAACACCTAGGTTTCCTAGTGAGATGCCGTCTGGAGGTCCCCAGGCTGATATTCTCGGTGCCGGGTTTCCTCACACGCGTAGAGATGGAGTGCATTGAAAGATACAGCATGGAGGCTACACTCGATCCCCATTGATGCCTCGAGATGCGCCCAACGGTGTCCCTGCATTTGCTGGCGTCTCCGGTCGAGCACGGGCGTCAGCTGCTGCTTGATCCGTGGCCCGGCGCAAGCATTCGTTGAGGCGCTGCCGGTGGCTTTCTGGTCCTCTCGTTGAGGAACGATGCTGAAAAAGAGAAGCTGAAGGATTGGGGACGAGTCCGTGGTCGAGTAGGTCACCCGCAGGACGTGCCGGAGACATGATGATAGGATTAGAGCTACAGCCCCCTGAGAAGAGAAAGGTATATTCTGAAGCGCACAGAACGTACGTATCAAAGGCCGGCGTCGATGGGGTTCCCCTTCACCATACAAGCGCGAGCTAGAAGCTGTATTTGAGGGAGGACAGAGTCGAAGGAGCTCGAGTGCGCGCGGTGCATACGTTCACCAACGCTCGCCAACGCTCACGTCAACATCCCCAGGGAGAAGGCCGGCAGTGTGAAGTCAATCGACGGCCAGTTTCCCAGGCCAGGTGCCTTCGGTCCACATGCACAACCTCTTCGTTCACTTCGCCATTTCTCTATGCGTAGCCCACGGTCCGGTTTCTAAGTGCATCTTCTTGCAGCGACAGGGGCTGGCGGACGGTATTCTGAGGGACGGGCACCGGTTCAAAGCGAAGTAGGAATATACGGGTCAATAGCGAATCGGTGGATACTCGTCGAAGCCGTGGGAAAGGTCCCTCGCACACGAGAGAAGGGCTCGCGATTTCGGAAGGCGAGCAGTGCATGACTTGGGATGATGACTTCACTATACCAGGGAAGACGTCCGAGGGCAGTCACCAGCTCCATGCCAGGATGTATACAGTGCTCTGGCACGTGCAATTCTCTATCTGATCCAATCACATCAAACACGTGGAAGTTCCTTCGTGCCCACGCCCGCCACCTTGACCGCCCTGATAGTCGGTCGTTATCCGTTCACTCAACATCTTTGCTGACTAGATACAAAGACGGGATGTCAAAGGGTAGAGGGCGATAGTTTTTTTGGGTATATTCTAAGGCTGGAAAGGTGAGTTGGTTAATACTTACTGCCCGACCTTACGGAATTTTCCGGCCTAGTCCGAGTTTTTTTTTATACAGAGCTATCTTTTTTGTTCCACGATGCAGAAACCTCTAAATTATACGCGATAGCCTTCGTGGGGGATAGTTCACGAGGGGGAATGTTCGATTGTGGCTCATCAATGGAACACCCGACCAAGTCTTTGAATAGTTCGACCATACTCATTTTTCTCTGTCTCATCGCTTCTGTCTCAGATATCATAGAGTCAAGATTGTACTGTCGGCATGATCGCATTCAATGGTTAGGGTTGCCGTTTTCCGTCTACCCGTCATTCAAAGTAATGTTTGTGCGCCGCTCTAGATTTTATTTGAATATTGCGTGAATGATGACTAGACTTTTATTGGTACTGAATTTGCAGGGCTCGTATCTCACTCATCAACCAGTCCATGTATGAAACGTGATACCTTCCAGCACGGATCAACGAGATCAGGTCTTCGCGAACGGCGTCCACAATCAGCTCCGTAACACACGGCTGACGAGAGACGGCCATGAATCGCATCGCGGCGATGGTCTGAGCGAAATTATTGAGCGCCGAGTGTCAATCAGCCAAGGAGCGAAGCCACGTACGAATATCTCGCCCTGGTGATCGGAAAATGGATCCCGTGGTTGCGAGACGGGGGAACGGATCCAGTAGTCCTGAACCATCCTGCAAGTGAAATGTAAGTTATGACATACCCAGCGCTGCGGAAAATTCTGCACTCACGACATGAGATCGACGAACACTCTCCACAGTTCCCGCACGGACTTCGCCGGCAAGGCATCGAGCTCATCCTCCAGTGTCTCCAGGACTTTCATCATATCCACGATGAATTTGAGCAGGTTGTAGAGGCCGACGTTGTCCAATTCGCCGCTCCCCCACTCCATGAGCCCCATTCGGCGGCAAGCTTGCAGCACGGCATATCTAAGCTCGTCATGGCTCGGTTCCAGAGTTTGAGCGATCAGCAAGCCGTAAATTTCTTCTCCGTGGTGAGCTGTTGCCATCTTGGATCCTGGAGCAATGTTTAAAGAGATGTTGCGAAAGAGTCATCCTTATATCAGGGGTTTCGGGCCAAGGACAATGCGTTACATTTCCAAGCAAGGTTTCGACATCCAACAATGTGATTGGACTTCGTTGGCGCTTTGATGGCGCTCGAACGCGCATGAACGGAGGGAGAACTATGGGAAATTTTAAGGCCTTAAGCCTCTGATTCAGCCGGTCAGCAAGCAATCGAAGAACAATGGAGTGAATTCTTGACAAAACGGGATGAAGATCAGTGAAACGGCGAGGTTCATCGAAGGACCAAGTCTCTCTGCACTGACTGCAATGAAAGTCATCAAGCAACCAATCGATGACCCTCCGCCTCATATAACGGATGGGACAACAATTATTCGACTCACGAGATTAGAGTGCCGTGTACACTCCTTGATGCGGACAAGTTCTACCCTCGCTGATGACTTGGAACTACCAAAAGCAAAAACGGTACCCAGCGGCCTTCTGAACTGGATGGAATCAGAGCTTTTGGACAGCAACACAGCTAATAAGGCCGGCACTGGGCGGATATTGCCTGGATTGCGAGAACTTAGATCGCCCTCATAATACGGCATGATTGAACTTATGATCATCGAACTAGGAACCTCCGTGGCCACGTTTGCACATTTCTGACGCACACAGTTGGTTCAATTCTTGATTAGTCTGTCTGACCGACTTTCTCAGTAGAGACACACTAATGATCTTTTCTGAATCGATTTTGCGCTTTTTTTCGAGGCATCGGGAAGAGATGTTCCATCGCAAAATGTAGGTTGTCGTCAGGTTTATTACCAGCTCCTGGAAGGATTTCATATTCCGCCTTTTATACCGCTGCGCCTCCCGATCCATCAATCGCTGCATTCTGTCGGTCGCGGGCGGCCTGATCGAGAGGCTTCAGTAATTGCATAGCTCTCATCCGAGACCTTACATCCTGCCTCGTCATTTCCATCTGCAGTGCCGCAAGGAGTAAAAATAGCTTCAGCTTCTCGTCCTGGACTGCGTCAAGGAATCGAATCGTCGGCTTCTCGTTCTTTCCGAATAGATGGGGTTGGTATGGAGTGAAGAGCATCGTGAAGGCAGGTACGTTGTCGGAAGTCAGCGTAGCCTGGCAAACTGATCTTCAGACAGTGCAAGTGATTGAAGACCGAAACATCTCGATACGTACCAAGAGTTCACGGCGTCCATTCTGCCATTCCAAGCGATACAAAGAACCACTCCAACGCCATTCCGGAGCCCTGAAAGGTTAGAAAATGACTCAAGGCGTGATGTGTAGGGCACGCACGAGCGAGTACCGCCGGCATCCGACCATTTCAAGATCGTGCCACCCACATCAAACTCTCCAGCGCGCCAGTCGATCCGTCCTAACAACCCACCTCCCTCAATAGATGTGACTCTGCGGCCCCGAAGGAAGAAATCTTTCGTGGTGCGCAGTGTGTAGATCACGCTGCCAGCACTGTCAATAATCTTGCAATCCTGGCATTGCTTGTGCGTAAATGTGAGAGCAGATGCCATGACAAGCGAAGGTGGATTGACCCCGTAGGATCCGTCTTCAGAGCTTTATATTGAAACATTAGGGCCTCCGCAGCAGTGCTGTCAATGTCAAACACTGTGTCAAACCAAGGATATGAAGCTTGTGACAGGTGCGTGATCAAAGGTTGGGCCGTTTCCGGATCCATCCAAAATGCAGTGCTGATACCTGACAATTATGCCGGCAGCAACTGTCTTGCATTGTAGCACATTTCGATCGGCCTGGGCAGAGACTTCGAACTCGATGCGGGAGACTTGAATACTTTCTCGTCTCTTCATGCAGAACAGACGAGCTTCACAATCATATTCTTGTTGTTGCTTGACTCACATTTCTTGACTCACATTTTAAGCCTGGATCGCGGATTCTTCCTGGCTGCTCTAAACCCGGTTTCATGCGGTGTAATGACCGTTTAGGTGCAAAGAAGCGGACGATTTATCACAAAAGATTCCGCGCATCCACAGAAGGCTGAAGGGACGTTGATCAGTAGCTTGGGCGTTTCCCCAGCGGGGAGTCACCATCCGGACTCTGATGAGAGACACAAAGCGGACACCTTCAGGCTCGGTCCAGGACTTGGTGGTCGGGAAGGCCTAAGCAGCCCGCTTACGCCCATCAATTCGGCCGAATCGGCTATCCGGACTTATCTTTTCCAGCACCATCTACACAACAACAATCAGACAACAATACAAAGTCCCCGTCGTCTTTCCTGGATTTCTTATCTGGTCCTTGAAATCTGGGCATCGTCGTTCAGCCTATATCGATGTGTATAGAATTGATTCGTGAACAGAGCACAAACTTATTGTTATAAGGTGGACCACTCGAGTGCTGTCAGAGACGGTCTGAGCATGCCAGGGGCCATTTGAGAACAATGGAACACTGACAAAAGAGACACTGGCCAACGCGTGCTTCCGCCGCTCATAAAAGGTCTTCCCCGATGTAAAAGCGTTGACACCGCAGTTCCGACCAGACGTGAAGCCATGCAGACCATCCTCCGCCTTCCGATCAGCTTATTTCGTGCCGTTTTGACGGGTGACTCGAAGCAGTCTTCAGGGATAGACTGCAACGTCTCGAGGAAAAAGAGGACTGCCGTACAGACAGGGAACAGGGTGCGCAAGTACGGTGGATTAGCGCTCTCGCTCAAGTAACTGACGATGGCTGCAGTCTGAGTCTCGCACTAGATCCAGGCCAGTCGAGAAAATTCGCAGAAGATGGCAGTCGCTTACCCAAATATGGTGCGTGAGCCTATCCCGCTAGGTCTCGCTCACTCAGTCCTGTCCGTTTTCAAAGTGCTAGCAAGGAATGTAGCTTGCCTACTAGAACTGATGAGGTAGACTCTGCACAAGCTGCACAAGCACCTGAAAATCAGCTGCTCATAATTCCTCTGAGAATCGAGAGAAACTCGGAGTCTCAACTCCTGGCGGTACCGAGCGCAATATCGCGTTTTTCCGAGCCAAGAGAAGAGTCCAGTGTCTGGGACGAATTTTATGACTTTGAGTGACCCATCGACTGGATCCGAAATCTATTTTCTGGTCTTATTTTGTTAGAGTTTCGATATATTTAATGGACCGTTCAATTACCACGTTGTATTCTAGACCTTGCTCTTGCAATTACTGAGCGGAGAGTTCGCACGTGAT